TAAGGTGTATAATTATGTGCGTCTTGTTTGGACTCATTTTAAAGGTTTTTTAATGAAGATGACAAATATGTCAAAATTGGCGTTGACGTTTCAAACCGGAAGTGATTGTATCTCCATTAATATTAAAGTTAAATATGCCGAGTTTGGACTCATTTTAAAGGATTTTTTTTGAAGTTGACAAATATGTCAAAATTAAAAGTTGAAAGTTCGAACTTTTTGGTTTTATAAGATAAATGCGTCAAGTTTGGACTCACTTTACAGGTTATTTTATGAAGATTATTGTTTTAACAATTTTTTAATTTGTGTTTTGATTCGTACGATACTTATTTATTAACATTCAATTTTTTTAATATTTAGAAAACTTGGGTTTGCGACGGAGTTCAAGATTGTAGTCAAGGTGAAGATGAATTGAAATGCGAAATTGTCTGTGATGATTCAAAATTTCCATGTTCCGGTGACGGTTTTAACGATTCCTCGACGTCTTTTTGCATCAATAAGAAACACATTTGTGACGGCCAAAAAGATTGTCCGAAAGGTGAAGATGAAAAAAATTGTTCGACGAAGAAACCGTGCGAAAAAGATTCCGTTTGTGCCCAAGACTGCGTTGTGACCCACGATGGAAAAGACGGTTGTTCTTGTAAACCCGGTTATCAATTAGGGCAAGATCAAAAAAGGTAAAATTAATTACAAATTTGATTATCTCTAAATAATTTTTTTTTTATTTAGTTGCGATGATATTAATGAATGTATGTATCAAACTGATCCGGTTTGTTCCCAAACTTGTAATAACACGATAGGAAGTTTTATTTGTGGTTGTATGACAGGGTATATTTTAAGACCCGATTTAAGATCTTGCAAAGCTTTAGGAGCACCACCAACTTTATTATTTACAAACCGCGTTGATATTCGCCAAGTTTCATTGAGCAACCAAAAATACACATTTCTCTTAAAAGGTCTTCACAACGCCATAGCTCTTGATTATCATTACGACAAGAAAACAATTTTTTGGTCAGATTTAACCCTTGATGTTATTAAATCTTCTTATATGAATGGAACTAATGTTAAAGATGTTATAAAATGGGGGTTGGAATCCCCCGGAGGGATCGCGTTAGATTGGGTACATAATTTATTATTTTGGACTGATTCTGGTACGAGAAGGATTGAAGTTTCAACATTAGAAGGAAAAGAAAGGGTAATAATAGCTGCGAATGATTTGGATAAACCGAGAGCGATTTCTGTGCATCCTGGTGAAGCGTTGATATTTTGGACCGATTGGGGACCATCTCCGAAAATTGAAAGGTCTGAAATGGATGGAACGAATCGTAAAAGTATAATTACAGACTCGGTTTTTTGGCCGAATGGTTTAACTTTGGATTACACCAGCAATCGATTGTATTGGGCGGATGCGAAACATAATGTTATAGAAACGGCTTTATTCGATGGATCTGATCGGAGAAAAGTTATTAGTAAAGGACTTCCCCATCCATTTGCTTTAACAATTTTTGAAGATGCAATTTATTGGACCGATTGGCACACAAAATCAATTTCCACGGCGAATAAAGCGACCGGAGCCGGATTTAGAACCATTCACTCCGATTTACACTTTCCAATGGACATCCATAGCTACCACAGTTTGAGACAACCAAAATACGATAACCATTGTGGAACAAACAACGGTGGGTGTGCCCATTTATGTTTACCAAACGCGAAAGGATTCGTTTGTGCTTGTCCTATGGGGCAAAAATTAACTTCCGATGGAAAATCTTGTCAGAAACCAGAAAAATTGTTAATTTTTGCTCGGAAGAAAGAGTTGAGAATAAAACACTTGGATGAAAACGCCGTTCATAGCCATGAAATTATTATTCCTGTCGATGGAATTAAAAGTGCTGTTGCTTTGGATTGGGATTCGAAAAGTGATACCGTTTTTTGGACTGATATTGAAAAGGATACTATTAATAGTGCGCATTGGAATGGGACAGAACAAAAAGTTATAATTCATACAAATTTAGGTAAGTACTTAAAAATAAAGCAAATTTTAATATCACTTAAACGCATACTCATTCAAGTTCTGACTTTTTTTTGCTGATGGTGACAAGGACTATTCACAGCCCTTGATGAATCAAAAAGATCCGTTCAACAACTTTCCAAATAGAGCTAGAAGGAAGTTGTCACTTTATTCCTAAGCAATATGTAGCTTTCTAGTGAGCATGACGATGATAAAAGATAGTTGAAGCACTTATGCTATTTCAAGATTAAATTCTATTAACATCTCTTGAATGAATTGTACTTTCTTGCCTTTCTGCCAGGAATGCCAAATTAACACCTTAAAAAACATTGATGACACATCTCGTAGATTAGCTAAAGTCATAAAGTTCAGAATAAGTATAAAAGGTGTACATGGTTACCTAATAATACTGACTTAGCCATGCCTCAATGAGTGTAAGAATGGAAGATTTTGTTATTCTATTTCTGGGGTACTTTGGATTGTGTTTTGTACCTTTTCCAGTGTATTGACTGAATTCCAAATGCAACCAGTTTGAGCATATCAGATTTTATACCAAATTGGGATATTCTCTTTATCTTCGCCCTCTTCCTAGCGTGCCTCTACCATGGTTTTGAGGGATGACCATCACTCTTCTAAAGTTTTACCTCTTCCTAGCAAGATCCTTGAGTTGTTCGTTAGCCTCAATGTACATCAGTAGTTTCCTCACCTGTCTCGTGCGTCTTACGTGAAACCAAGATAGCTGTATATCTTCAATCATCCTCTCAACCGGCTGCATATTGAGCTCTCCTTGAATAAGGCTGTTGAATTTCATTTGGACCGCATTAACCCTACTGATATCCCTTCTATTTGCGGTCCAGCTTTCACTGCCATAGGCAATTATAGGCTCAATGACCGCTTTATAAACCATTGTCTTGGCCTTCCGGCTTACTTAATCCTTTCCAAACACACACCGACTTAGGGCATAGCAAGCCTTGTCCACTCTATTCCTGAACTCTTCAGTAAGCTTGCAATAAGGACTATATCATCTGCATCTATCAAATCTTGGCACATTATCAGTCTGAGGTTGACCATGCCTTAANAGTGCGCATTGGAATGGGACAGAACAAAAAGTTATAATTCATACAAATTTAGGTAAGTGCTTAAAAATAAAGCAAATTTTAATATCACTTAAACGCATACTCATTCAAGTTCTGACTTTTTTTTGCTGATGGTGACAAGGACTATTCACAGCCCTTGATGAATCAAAAAGATCCGTTCAACAACTTTCCAAATAGAGCTAGAAGAAACTTGTCACTTTATTCCTAAGCAATATGTAGCTTTCTAGTAAGCATGACGATGATAAAAGATCGTTGAAGCACTCTTATGCTATTTCAATATTGCTGGATAGAATTTATTTTCGAGGTTGGCTCTATTAACACCTCTTGAATGAATTGTACTTTCTTGCCTTTCTGCCAGGAATGCCAAATTAACTCCTTGAAAAACATTGATGACTCTACCGTGGCTTTGAGGGATGAAATTTCATTTGGACCGCATTAACACTACTGATATCCCTTCTATTTTCAGTCCAGCTTTCACTGCCATAGGCAATTATAGGTTCAATGACCGCTTTATAAACCTTTGTCTTGGCCTTCCGGTTTACTTAATCCTTTCCAAACACACACCGACTTAGGGCATAGCAAGCCTTGTCCACTCTATTCCTGAACTCTTCAGTAAGCTTGCAATAAGGACTATATCATCTGCATCTATCAAATCTTGGCACATTATCAGTCTGAGGTTGACCATGCCTTAACCACCGAAGTTTTTGTTCTTCTCTTGTACCACTTCATCGATAAATGCTACAAATAGCAATGCTAGCATTTGTAGTCAATGCTACAAATGCTAGAGATCTTCCCGTTAAGCCTCACCGTTCCCGCGTTCCGTCTACTAGCTGGAACATGGACTTGATTGCCTGCATCGCTTCTGGGGGAGTTCCTATCTTCTCTAGTGGTTTCCAGACCGCTTGCCTTGGTACCTCATCAAACGCAGAGTGCATATCCAAAAAAGCCAGGTATGCAGATTCCCTTCTACTTCAAAATGGGCTCTCTTTAATGCAATTTATTATATCCTGCTGAGCCATCCATCTTCATATATCATTAGTGATATTCCCTAAATTTTGTACACAAAAAAATCTTTGTTGTTTGTGAAGTGAAAAAATTTCATAATCAGAGAAAATCTCTACCCTAGCATGACACTGCCACAAAAAGGAGTTGCAAATAATTCATTATAAGGCCATTTTTTCAAGTCAACCTCATTGGTCAGAAATAATTATAGGTATGCCAAAGAATTGTAGTCCTCAATGGGTGGGTTGAATAAAAAAGTAGTACATGCTAATGCTTGAGGAAAAAGAATTTACTGCATAGCAAATACTTTCGGATGTAGTACGCCTTTAGCTCCGGTAGAATTTCAAAAGTGCAACAACGTGTTAGTTCACGTAGTACTCATTTGTTTTGTATAGGTTATGTACGCGTGAGGTTCGTAGTTATTTGTGCAACTTATTTATATAGTATATATAAATGCACTTAGTATATATTGAGAAACTCAGTTTTCGATATATATCAGAAAATCAGTTTTCAATCTTATTGTATAATATACCATAAGGAATTTTCTCTTTAATTGTCCAAAACAACGTTCAATTCTGGACCAACGGTTGTCATCGGATTGGCATATGGAGTTAACATCCAAGGTGTCAAAGCATAGCCTTAGTCGCCCAGTAAACATAAATCTTGGTCGTGATTTAGCATGATTAGATATATTGATGAATTGTGCCATATACGGCTGTCATGAACTGACCCAGGCCATGAAGTATCAACACTCATTAATACCACACACTCCTTTTCGGTTAACATATTCATCTCCGTGAGTTACTGGTTTTAAAATCATTATATGGGTGCAGTCGATTGCTCCAATAACATTGGGTATATGACTGTTAGTAGCCCATTCTTCAGCAGCTCTGTTTAATTTGTCACGAGTAGCAGGATATTTTATCCAAACATTTCTTTTATTACAAATGTAGCATGTACTTCCCTTCGTAGTAAAAACTTCGACTTTTTGATTACCGATAAAGTAATTCCGAGAAATACGAAGTATTTACTGCAATTAGTAGAATCTGCTTCACAATCATAGAATTTACTTGAAGAATTTACTTCAGTATTGTAGCATTAGCATTTACTACTGTTTTATTCAACCCAACCCACCCAATGTCTGCTTTTACACCTGCCACTTCAGAAAATACTACTTGACTTAATCTTCTAAATACCGAAGTTTCTTTAGTTCTCTTGTTGCTCCCTCTCTGGTTATCTCTTCGACCTCTGTTGCTCCTGGTGAACTGAATTCAACGTTCTCTGACTTTTACACTCGTCCACGTACTTGATCTGTGTGTCGCCTGGAAATGCTTCCATCCGGCAATTCCACTCCGTAGCTTCCTGTACCAGTCTTCTCTCCAATTAAAACTGGTATCCACTTCGGGCCTGGAACATAACATCTAGCATATATCAAGTCATCTGTTGCAAAAGTTCTCTTCGCCTCTTGTTTTGCTCTCGTTGATTGGGAGAAATCTGGTTTTACTTTATCCAATAATGTTGTCAATCTTCGGGGTGTACAATGCATCTTCTTCAACACCGCCTTCATATTTTGCAACATGCGCTCTGCCTGACCATTACTACTAGGGTGATAGGACGCAACTAATGCTTGTCTGACGCCATTCTTTTTTAAAAAATCTTTAAATTGTGCAGAGGTAAACACTGTACCGTTGTCAGAGACGATGACCTCTGGAAAAGCATGAGTTGCAAATAGTTGTCTCAATACTAAGATTGTTGCAGCACTTGACATAGTGTGAACTTGATGAACCTCCAGCCATTTTGAATAAGCATAAATTGTAATTAGAAATGTTCTTCCTTTTACCGGACCAAGGCGCTTTTGCCCACTCCCATGGATGTACTAGTGCCTTAGCTGGCATATTCTAGCATATAATTTACTTATCTATCCCTGGCCACCAAACATATAATCTTGCAAGGGCTTTCATCTTCACGATTCCTGGATATGAAGTATGGAGCAGTTCTGATATCTCTTTCCTCCCTCCTTAATTATCTCTTAATTATCATGTTACAATCCATGTGACATGATAATTCTTTGGCTCTTACCACAAATGATTAAAATTTTTATTCTTTCTTTTTATAATTTATAGATTCTCCATCTGGTTTAGCATATGATTGGATAACGGATAAAATTTATTGGACAGATGCCAGTACGAAAAGAATTGAAGTATCAAATAAAAACGGTTCAATTAGAAGCTTATTAATATGGCAGGATTTAGATAAACCTCAAGACATAGTCGTAGATCCAATAAGTAATAATTAAAAAAAATTTTTAGACGAATTTTTATTAAAAAACAAATTTTAGGTGGATTTATGTATTGGTCCGATTGGGGTGATAAACCCAAAATAGAAAAATCTAACATGGATGGAACTTCCCGAACGGTTTTAGTAAAAACTAATATTTCGTGGCCTAATGGTTTAGCCATTGATTATGATGGTGGTAAATTGTATTGGGCCGACGGGAAAAGGAACTCAATAGATTCTTGTAATTTAGATGGAACGAATCGAAAAACAATTTTAGGTGAATTAATTTCATAACTAAATTTCTTTTTGTGTATTAATTTTTTGTTTAGGTCCTGATTTACCGCATCCATTTGGATTGGATATATTCGGAAGTTCTCTTTATTGGACCGACTGGAAAACTCCCTACATCGAAATGGCCGATAAAACAAACGGGGCGAATCGAAACATTTTAGTGTCAAACATTTCCGATTTAATGGATGTGCGAATATTCCATAGAAATCGGAAAATCATCGAAACTGAATGTAATAAAGATAACGGGGGTTGTTCCCATTTGTGTTTATTAAAGCCTAAAGGATATTCATGCACTTGTCCTTTAGGGAGAGTTTTAAAGGTATTTTTTTTGATAAATTTATTTAAATTAAGATTTATTTTTGATTGTTTAAAGTCTGATGGAAAAACTTGTTTGGAAAATCCTCGGGAATCGTTGATTTTATCGCACAGATTCGATATCCGGCAAATTTCTTTGGATGTTCCTTATATTATTGATGTTGTACTTCCATTTCCGCATTTAAAGCATGTAGTATCTACAGATTTTGATCAAAATTCTGGAATGTTATATTGGTCTGATTCCTCGGAAAGTGTTATTGAGAGAGCTAGTTTTGATGGAAGTGTAATCGAAACTGTTCTAACTCACGAGTTAACATCTGTTGAATCGATTGCAATTGACTCCATCACTAAAAAGGTAATAATAAAGCAATATTTAAAAAAATTTATTATTATTAACCATTATTTTAGTTATATTGGACCGATCGAGAAAGAAACAGCATAGAAGTTGCCGAATTAAACGGAACCAACCGAAAACTTCTCATTTACTCAGATTTAGATAATCCTAGAGCAATCGTTTTGGATTACGAACATGGAATGATGGTGTGGTCAGATTGGGGGACGCATGCAAAAATTGAAACGGCGGAAATGGATGGAAATAATAGAAAAACGATTGTAAACGAGAATCTTATTTGGCCAAATGGTTTGGCGATCGATAAAGATTTCCATCGAATTTATTGGAGTGATGGGAGTGCAAAAATAATTGGAAGTGTTGATTTTAAAGGTAAAAAACGTAAAGTGATCTTAGGAGAACTTCCTCATCCTTATGGGTTAACTATATTCGGGGGATATGTTTATTGGACCGATTGGAAAACGAAGAGTTTACACAGAGCGAATAAAACGACGGGGAGAGATGCGGTTACTTTGTGTGGAAAATTAGATGGATTGTTGGATGTTCGAGCGATATCGACAGGGTTGATGCATAAAAATGTTTGTGGTTCAAATAACGGTGGGTGTTCTCATCTTTGCTTAAGAAACGCCAAGGGGTATAGTTGTGCTTGCCCAACGGGGATTAAAATGAAAAGTGGAAGTAAAACAACTTGTAATTATCAACCGGATAAATATTTATTATTTGCAACCAGATCAGCTTTAGCTAGAATCAGTTTAGATTCGCCTGATTCTTGGGACGTCACTTTACCCATTAAAAATATTAATCACGTTATTAACGTCGATTTTCATTGGGGATTACAAATTTTTTATTTTACCGATGTCAAAAATCAAGTTATTCAAAGTGTTAATATGCGAAATCTTTCCGATGTAAAAACGATTGTGCACCAAAACGGTTCGGCTCCTTACGGATTAGCAATCGATTGGATCTCCAATAATATTTATTGGTCAGACACTCATTACTCTATAATCCAAGTTTGTAAAATGGATGGTTCTTGGAGAAAAGTCATTATTAAAGATGACATCGTCGAACCGAGATCTTTAGCGGTTTATCCTAAATTGGGTTATTTATTTTGGACAGAATGGGGAAAATCGCCGAAGATTCAACGATCATTTTTGGACGGATCTGGACGACAAACAATTTTAAGCAAAGAACAAGGGTTACCTAATGGATTAGTTATCGATTATAATGAAGCTAGATTATATTGGACAGATTCGCAATTGGATTTAATAGAGAGCTCAGATTTAAATGGACGAAGTAGCATGCAATTGATGTATCCAAAGAAAATGACGATGTTAACACGTCCGTTTGGGTTAGCTTTGGTAAGATTTTAAAATATCTCGTACTAATAATATAATATATAACATGATAATTTTTAGTTTGGTGATAATATGTATTGGACCGATTGGTTAGATAAATCGTTATTAAGAGCTGATAGAAAAACTGGCGAACGTTGCGTAGTTATTCGTAATAAATTAGATGGTGCGATGGGAATAACAACCGTCTCACAAGAACGCCAATCAGGTTGGAACCCTTGCGTGGTTAATAACGGAGGGTGTTCCCATTTTTGTTTCTTCAAACTCAGAAATTACACTTGCGGTTGTCCCGATGATTCCGATAAATCGTGCAAAATTGTTCCTAAAGAATGGGTGACAGAGAGAAATCCTAACGGAATTTATCTCTACGAAAATGGCGATTACGAAGCAACTCCTCCCGCTTTAAACGAGATATTCCCAGAAATTCAAAAAGATACGCCGTATCATAAATTTTATATCTTAGCGTTGGTTTTGATGGTTTCAATTTTTGTTTTAATTTCACTTCTTATGGTTGCCGCCGTGATTTATCGAAGGAGCAAGAAAAAGTATTTATATGCAACCGGAAGAAGTGTAAGAACCTTTTCAAATCCTAATTATTATACTCCTAGTGGAGAACCAACTGGACCAGCTGTTTTGGTGGATAAGAGACCATGTATTTGGAAAAGGCTTAAATATGATAAATCACAGGTACTAACTAAGTTATTCTAATTAAATTAAAATTTGAAGTAACACTAGATCTATACCTAGAAACTTTCGGATTAAGCTTAGTATCTTGGTCCTTTGGAAGTCTCTTTTTGCAGCATTGCTCTGCGACTTCCTCTTATGCTCTGTCCAATTTGGCCATCGTAATATTTCCTGCAACTATGTAATAGTTGATCTCCCTTTAATGGGGTTAGTTTGCCTTTAGCTATCGGAAGAACGTTCTAAATTCCACGATATCATTCGTAGGATTCCACAGACGGTATACTTCTGCCATTAGTAAATCACAATTCTTAAGACTCAAATTTCTTAAACTTCTTGTTAGGGTTCCTTTAGAATTCACACCCAGCCTTCTCCACAATTATTCTGTTTATTTGGTCCCAGTCTTCTTTAGCCATAGAATTGGAAAGTTCGACATGATTATTTATTTGCTGCAAATTTTTGAAAGTTTTGCTAATTCTTTCTCGTATTAGTGCACGATCTGTCCTAATCAAGATCCTTCCTTGAAAAAGCTTGGTGTTATTTTCTTCTCTCAAGTTTATTAAACACAAACTTGCTGAAGAGAAGCATCGTTCCGATTCCACACTTGTTGGTGGAATAGTTTTGCAACATTCAAAAGCTAATTAAAGATTTTTACCATTATTGAATATATCATTTTCTTGGATCGATGTATTGAAAAGTGCATTCTTAGTTAACTGGGCAGATGGCTGTTGATTGTTTAGAGCAGAATAAAGATTTTCTTTCAGTGTCTAATTCGTTTCAGGCCGTTGAGGCTCCGCAATTAGAAAATCATCTTCATCATTTTCAAACTCTTTGATCGATCTCGATCAACTCGTAGAATAAGTAAACTAAGTTATTAATTATTAACAATATTGACTTATAAGACTAAAAATTAACAAATATCAAACCAATTACAAATCATCGTTCGACCATAGTCTTATTCGACTAGGAGATACAACTCCTTCGTATGGTTTGTGTAATTTGAAAACTCTCAATGTCTGTTACCACATATCAATAGTTATCAAATACTTGTTGTAAATGTCTTAATTCCGCATCAGAATAAGAAATAAGCAGTCCTGTTCGTTCTAGTCATTCTTGCATATATTTAGCCGCATCTGTTCTACCGACGACTGTGCAAAACTGCAAGACGATTTAAATAGGTTACATGAATATTGTTTAAGAAATAACTTGTTCTTAAACCTTGATAAATGCACTAAAATTACATTTACTCGCAAACGCTATTCTGTCGTCTTGGATTACTCCCTTGGCTCAACTATCCTCAAACAATCCGAATGCGTGAGAGACCTTGGAGTTATTTTCGACTCTAAACTTTCTTTTTCGGCTCATATTGACTATATTGTTAACAAGGCTTCTCGGATTTATATGTCGCATATCCCATCCTTTTTCTGATCTGTCCTATATTCGTTTACTATATTCTGCCTTTGTTTCCTCTGTCCTTAATTATGCATCGACCGCCTGGAACAAGTCTAGAAGCGTTTTGCTCGGTATTTGTCGCATAAATTTTGCTTACCGTATTGTAATTATGCGCAGCGATGCACAGTATGATGACTTATCCCTACTTTATAAAGTGTGCAATGGCCTTATTGACTGCTCCGCGATTTTGTCCGAGTTAAAATTTAAAATTCCTGTTCGACCGTCTCGCGACTTGTCTTTATTTTCTTCTGACTCGTCTTTTAAACTGTTTAAATCCATAAAGCAACGGCAAATGCGTTTACTTATCTCTGTTTTATGCCCTCCGTAATCCAAACACAAAAGATTGCAAATTGAGGTTAAGTCACCTACACTTAGATTCTCCTGTATAAATGAAATTCGAACCCAGCAAATTCTCGTAGTCGTTTCAAATATCAATAAATGAATTGCTTTTATCACCTTAACTGGTGCTCTGCCAATGTTGTATGTATGTAGTTTCATGTGAGGTGAAAGCACTTGGGCCCCAACGGTCTCTTTGTACATGTGTAGGTCTGTTTGGAGGAGTGAAAGATGTTCGAAATGGCATCCGATCAGGCTAATACCGCTTCTCGCCTCGCCTTCAACCGGGCTGGTACTCCAACGCCCAGCAATTTGAAGACGACCCCCAAGCCGGGCTGGTACTCCAACGCCCAGAAACTTGGGTGCATGGCTGAGTACTGCTCAAAGAGCGCAGACGCTCTGCCAATGTTAAATCGCAATAATTCTATTTCTCCTAATGTCAACATTTTCTAAGATTTCATAAAATCGACTTTTCGTAGAATCAACGTCTCGTAGAATCGACTTTCCGTAGAATCAACTTCTCGTAGAATCGACTTCTCGTAGAATCAACCGATTACCATCCGCAAATTATCAATGATACACGTCATACGTGTTGTTTCTTCCTTCTCCGTACTGTGATTTTCTGTCCTATTCACACATTAGCACCTCGCCGGAAATACACACAAAATGGCGTTGGTCTTCCTTCTAGAACAGCGTAAAACTTATTTCTTCACAGCGTCACTGGATGAATTCTTAATTTCCAGTCTTTTATCCCACTTCTGATGACTGTAGAAAGGACTTCTTTGGGTTTACCAGGATACACACACTTTTATAACCAAAACCAGATTGACAGATTTATAACAACGATGTTCACTTGTTAACGACCCAGCTCGAACTACTCGACGCAAGCGCATTTCTAACGGTCGTGCGCTAGGGCGCCATCTAACAATTAAAATTTAAATTCTACAGTATTTTGTCATAATATAATAAGGGATAATTTTGGTAGTTTTGCCACTTTCTCTATATCTTTGATTATATATAATATGGATTGAGCCAACGAGAGAGATAGCTGGCGCAAGGTGATCGTACCGAGATAGACATAGAAGCGTACTGACATATAATGGGCGTGCGTTAATTTATAAGATAAAAAACTATCAATTAGAAGTAACATTTATAATACTTACAGGTGATGTGAAACTGTATTATCGCGAACTTTGCACACGAAACAATACATTTTTAAACATAACGGTGTGACTGGCTGTGACACAACAAAACGATAAACGTCAAATGGAGGTTTGACACTTTTGTGCGCATGCGCCCGTCTGTTTGTACCGTTTTATGTCTATCTTTGTTACACTTTCACATTATCGCTTTCCATCTGCGTCTATTCACCTTGAGCCACATTTTTGTTAGTAGATATATTCAGTTAGCTCAATCCATATTATATATAATCAAAGCTCTATATGCAAATGAGATAGGCCAAGCAGAACATCGATTGTTAGAGTTAGTGTTGTTTTAATATAGTGCTAGGTTAATTCTAAATGCCTTCGTATTTCTATTATTCTAATTAATATTTAATTTTTGTTAAGGATCGTGTTTATGAAGATAAAACAGGTGGAACAAGTCCTGAAATAGCAAGTTTAATACCAACAGTTTTAACTCCGAGTAGTTCTAATTGTGAAGCTGTAACACCGGAATTGGGACACTCCCCATTGGTGACTCCAATGCACCGGGAGTCCCAACCGTCCGTTTAAGCAAAAAAAAAATAATAATTATTATAAAAAAGAACAAAGTAGAAGTCAAAAATGATAAATATAAACCTAGTCAAAATAAAACAATGCAAGATATAGGCAAAAAGCAGAAGCAAAAAAAAATCGACGATGTCATTATTGTAAATAGGTTGATTGTCAAATTAGTTGGCTGACAATAAATCATTTATAATACCGGAATCTAACAATAGAAGAGGAACAATGGATAAGACGATGGAAAATTGATTGAAAAAAATCTAATTTCGAATAAAAATTTAGTTTTCGTTTTGGATGGAATTAATTTTAAATGTTAAAAAAGGGAGAAATATGATAAAAAAGATCACGTTTTTTAATAGACGTTACATATCCTACCGGAAACAAATAATGTTTTGTTGATAAGAAAAAACGGGCTTATTTAAAAAATTAAAAAAATCGTTGATTTGTTGTACTTACCAAAATAAAATTAAAAAAAAAAAACAGAAATTAATAAAATTAAAGAGAAAAAAATATGTAAATCTAATTGTGAGTGAATGGCGTGAATGCAAACGAGAGAACTAGAAATATTTTTTTAAATGATGTGGATGACAGAGTATTTTTAAAGACTGATTGTTAGTAATTTGTTTTAATTCTAATTACGTTATTTATTAAGAACGGAGGTAAAAAAAAAATGTTAAGATACAAAACAAAAAATATTTTTGTGCCAATACCGAAAAAAACTCAAATTTTTTTTTTAAATCTAAAAATTAAGGGAATGCGGTATGAATGCTTTGTGTAAATACAGCTGTAATTGATTAGACTCAGAGGCTCGCGTAGTCTATCTATTACCAGCTGTATATATTCGAAACAAAAAAAAAAACACAAAAAAATTACATAAATAATAACAATAAAAAAATACAAATTTGTGTGAAAACTCACCTAAACGTTTTTATCCACGTTTTTATTAACGTTTAGTTGGGTTTTCGTGAATAATAAAAATTAGTACCTACCTTTAAAAGGTTTATTTCACTAAAACCATAAAAAAAAATGATTAAGTATTCACGATTTTTAAAATAAAAATTATGAATGCTGTTTAAAAATATCGATACAAATTTGGATGCGATAAAAAAGAGTGATTTTTACGTATTTGCTTTGTGATGATTATGAATTGTATTTGTTAAGAACAATTCAAATCTTTTGAGATAAATGTTACTAGTTTCAGTAATTTCCTAAAACTTAATTAATTTGTAATTGATATCTTTGTAATCGTTAATATTTTCAATTTCAAATCATTAATTTGTACCTGAGATCCACTTTTCATTACTGTGTATCATGTTGTATGTCATCAAAGTCTTACAAAATCTTACCTCCATATCCTGCTCTCTACACTTTCACCCAATATGATATCTTACAAAATCTAAAATCATCTCCATTATTTGACACTTCCTCGCGAAGTGATCCAAAGTTTCCCCTCATTTCTCGTTTTAAACCTCACCAACATTTTCTATTCTCCTATATATTTGGTTTAAAATATTTGAGCAAATCGTTGGTTGTAATTTCTATATATTTTATCTTCTGCTAGCAGTTTTTAGCTTTCTGCTAGCAATATCCAGTAAACTAAAAGGAGGATCTAGTCATCTATAAGCAATATCATGTCTTCTTCTCACACTATCTACTCTTCTGCCAGCAGTTTCCACTCATCTATAATGAGGAAGTCATCTTAAGCAGTACCTTATCTTCTGCTAGCAGTATCTAGCTTTCTGCCAGCAGTGTCAAGTCAATCAATAGGAAGTTCTAGTCATCTATAAGCCAGTTAAATTTTTAGCTACCTGCAATCTTCTTTCTTATTTCTGCATATCCTTAGTACGTTTGGTTCTCAATATAAAGATGAGATCCTTGAGAATCAAACATAACGCAAAAGAATACGAATGAGAGTAAGTCTGAAAAAAGAGTGATAATAAGATACGCTAAGAGTGAAGAAAACATTTCCATACTAACTTTAACACTCAATCAATTGGATACATTTTCATTAAAACGGAGCGATCTCAGCTATAAATTTTCTTTGTCATTTATTCATCCAATTATATGTATTCATCTTTTGAACAGTTCTGCTGCAAGTGGTTTCCAAAATTATGGAAAATTAAACCACTGTAAATCTTTCCACGACGTATTTCTGTCAGCAGTCTCCAGTCATCTATAATGAGGAAGTCATCTTAAGCAGTACCTTATCTTCTGCCAATAGTATCAAGTCGGTCAAAAGGAAGTTCTAGTCATCTATAAACACCATCTTGTCTTTCGCCAACACTATCTTCTGCCAGTTAAATTTTTGCTACCTGCAATCTTCTTTCTTATTTCTGCTTATCATCGAACTTGTCTCTTAGTACGTTTGGTTCTCAATATAAAGATGAGATCTTTGAAAGGTTGTGATTGAAATTGGTTGCCCCGCTCCGATGTAATCCGCAACGGCATTAAAATAGCCAATTCCAATCATATAATTGTGGGTGGTCTCACGTTTTGCCTAGTTTAAATTGTCTGAATGCCCTGGAATTGGTTCTGTCTTAACGTTGAATCCAGTTCGGCGATCGAATCAAATATAATGCAAAAGAATATGAATGAGAGAAAATGGTAAATAGAAATGTGCCACAAAGTCTGAAATGGGAGTGATAATAAGATACGTTAAAAGTGAAGAAAAGATTTTCATACTAACTTCAACACTCAATCAATTGGATACATTTTTATTAAAATGGAGCGATCTCAGCTATAAAATTTCTTTATCATCAATGCTAAGAATTCGAGGTTTTCGCATATAATTAATTTTCAAAGCTTCAATATTCATCCAATTATATGTATTCATCTTTTGAACAGTTCTTCTGCAAGTGGTTTCCCAAATTATTGAAAAATTTTCTTCTCTATGTCCTATAACAAAAATAAAACTGATGAAAATGAGAATATAAGATATGGCTGATATAACAGCATGATTACCTATTATAATTGATAACCAACTTAAAAACCAAGATATTTGTTCTTACTAAAGATTTTAATAGAAAATCATAAATACTTAAAAATTAAAAATTCATAATCAACATAAAAAATATTTAAAAATGACCTTTTCTCATCCAAAACTGTTAAAAACTTGTGAATTATTATTATTATTCCCAAGGAAAAGTTTCCTTTTTCTCACTCAAACTCATCAGTATTATTCGAGGCTCAAATAAGCTCAATTGTTCACACATAATTCCGAAACTAAAAAGGTTATTAACGTTTTACACTACGAGATTTATATCGAAAACCACATTTGTCTATAAAAATATTGGTATACAACGGAATAAAACCGTGTCAAGAGATTGTCATTTTACGCGTATTATATACAATAAAAATGGATAAAAAAAAACGAAAAAAAATCAATAAAAAAGTCATATAGACGAGTTGGAAAAATATAGATGTTTAATAGCATAAAAAATAGGATTTATGTTGGACAAAAAAAATGTGTAATTTATACAGGTCTTGTATCTTGGTAACCTCCACAGGATACAATGATGATAATAATAATAATGTATTTTAAATGTTTTTTTTTCTTTGGTGTTTTATTTAAAAAAAAAACCTTTAAGTATAATTTAAAAAATATATATTAAAAACACAATAACTAAAAAAATTTTGACCTAATCTAATTCATCGTATTACAATATTCATCATATAACTTTTTATCTTTTGACTTAATATAACAGGCCAAACCAAACAACAAATATCTAGCACTATACTTTTTATAAAAAATTTCGTCAAGTTGACCCACCAACTGACTAAAATCACTGTTATCACGATACGTTGATAAAGCTTTTAAGAAAGTTTTATATTCATCCAACGATAAAGCATCTCTAACCTAACAAAAAAACATTTTTATTTATTAAACAAACTCAATCAATTCAAACCAACCGTCATCATATACTCAGAATCTCTATTTGAAGGTTGTTGTTGTTGAGGTTTATTCTCCACCAAAACAATCCTTGTTTTTTTTGGTTTATTCTCCAATAAATTCGGCGGACTTCTTTTATGAATCGTAACTAAACCGGATGTAGAAGGATCTTGACTTTCAACTGATAAGTTAGAAATGTTTGAATTTTGAGATGATTCTTCTTTTATTTCTGTTTTTATTGGTGGTTTCTATAATTAAAAAAATAAACAGAAAACATATTTAACGACGCTTTAAAACTCACAATATTTCCAGCATTATTAAAAAAAAATTTCACATCTCTCACAATCATTCCAAAGTTATTAACGACTTTAATTCGATCTCTTAACCATAACGATAATTGCGATTTGATTTTAAATGAATTAAATCTCGAATCGAGGAGTATTATAGCACCATAATCATGTTGATGGCGAATAACTCGTCCGATAGCTTGGTTGATAGCTCGAACGGCTTCTAAACTATACCAATCGTCACCTTTTAAATACTTAATAAACACAAAATTAATAAAATATTTGTCGCAAAAAAATATTTACTAACATCTGCATCTGCTTTATTACAAACATCTAAGTAACGTTTTTTAAGTACAATTTTTGGATCTTTTAATGGTGGATAAGGAAGTCCAACGATGATTACACCCCTTCCGTTTATATCCGCAAAATCCAACCCTTCAGAAACTTTTCCGCGACAAACCCCCATGAAGATAGCTCCTTTATTTTGTTTAATTTTCGCGTAATAATCAATCATAGCCGAATTGAAAGCATCTTTATCTTTTGGTTCAACTAAAATCGATTTAATCGCGTTTATGTCGCTCCAAATTCCTTCTCTTTGCCAATGATCTTGACATTTTTGTAAAATCGGGTATGAAGGGAAAAATATTAAAACACCATCGGGAATTAAACGGATAACATTTAAAATCGTCCTTCCCAAAGATGAAAGATATAGAGGATTATCTCGATTTTTATAGTTACAATTTAATTCAACACCATCGGGACCGTTATTTAATATTCTTACGCAAATTTGATTTGGTGAGACGACGTGAGGATTTTCTAATTGCACGTTTATGCTTATTCCTAATTCGGATATAAGAGGTTTTAACGGTGCCAATGTGCCGCTGGTTAAAATAACCGATTTCATGCCAGAATCCATCATTTTATTCATTCTAAAATATTTTTTTTTTATAATAGATCTAATTAAAATTGATTTAGTTACCCAAATCCTGGGCTAAAACACCAATAATTTAAAACACGGCATGTATCTTTATTTGATAGCTTCGTTAACCAATTATCACGAGTTTTTTTCTTTTCTTCTAACGTAACATGAACCTTAATTAAAATTTTAATTAACAACACAGGGGAACAAAAAATAAAGTTTTTTTTGTGGCATAAGTTTATGGAGTCAATTTAGATAATGAAGTACCCTATACATTATTTCTTTTTCTCAAAGACAAATTCATGAAATAAAATACTGAAAATGATGATATTTCACAAATCAATAGTATTAATAATAACAATAACAATAAAAACTTAATAAAGCTCAATAAGTAAATAAATAAAACATACTCAATACAATAAATACAAAGCATACAATAAATACTCAATAAAGGAGAATTTTATGTTAGAGAAAATGAATAACAAGAATGTGTTCTTAGCATAGATGCGACCTTGAAGTTAGATATTGCAAAATTTCATAAACAAACACAATTAAATAGCATATGAAAAATTTTAAAGGAATAGGTAAAATTGGAAAACCATATACAATAGAAATTGAAGAAAATGTAAAATCAGAACATCAGAAAAGTACATTTTATGTAACAAGATCAGTTTAGAAAATGCTTCAATAACTTAGAGAAACTAAGTAATTAAACGAGTAGAGGGTATAAAAGGGATGAAATTCTCCATATTTCTCAAATTCTGCATTTTAGATGCTACAAGTGACTTTTGGAACATTTGTTTAGATGAACAATCTAGCAATTTATGTACATTTGGAACTGCGCTTGGAAGATATAAATTTTTACGATTACCATTTGGTAAGTGAGGGTTTTTAAGAATACTTTAAAGAAATATTTCAAATTCCAGAAGTCGAACCATATATTGATGATATACTAATACATGCTAAGACAGATGAAGAACATGATAAACAAGTCTTTCAAATAGAGAAAGAAAAGAACGTTAATGAAGTTACTTATTTAGGATATAAATTTTTAAAGGAAAGTATTGGTATAGATGAAGAGAAAAGTAGAGCTATTTCTAATATGCCTAAACCAAAGTGCCAGAAAGATGTTGGAGATTTAATAAAAAAAGAACATATATTTAATTGGGGTCAAGAGCAAGACAAGGCTTTTAATCAATTAAAACAATTAGTAACAAAAAATCCAATTTTACATTATTAGAACAATAAAAAAAAAAGTAAAAGTATCTGTAGATGCATTAACTTATGGATTAGAACTTTGACAGATGTTTAACAGAATTATGCGCAGATAGAAAAGAAATGTTAGCAATCTGCTTTGGGTTGGACAAGTTTTATCAGTATGTGTATGAAAAGTTAATAAAGAAGCTAAATACAAATAACAGTTTTATTAACAAATATAACAGTAGGAAAAGATCATGAACCATTGATCAGTTGAGAAAAAATCATTCTGCCGCCACTACATATAAAACTTGGGCTAATAAAACAGTTTGTTAAAGCTTTAGATAAAAATGGAGATATATTTGTCATTTATTTCCTGGTCTTTGTCAGTACAGAAAAGTTAAAAGGGGATATTTTTGTTCCATACTCTTCTAAACAATGATGATTTCACACCACATGACTTAAGTTGTCTTGGAAGAATGGACAAGCTTTGTATCAGTTTTCAAAAATTTTTTGGAGAATCAAAATGATCAAAAATTAGGAGTTTAATTTGAAAAAATTTAAGTTCGGTATAAATGAGGTTACTTATTTAGGATACAAATGTTCAAAAAAAGGTATTGGTATAGATGAAGAGAAAAGTAGAGCTATTTCTAAAATGCCTAAACAAAGTTTAAAAAAGATGTTGAAGAGATTTAATAAAAAAGAACATATATTTAATTGGGGTCAAGAGCAAGACAAGGCTTTTAATTAATTAAAACAATTAGTAACAAAAAATCCAATATTACATTAATTGTAAGACAATAAAAAAAAGTATCTGTAGATATATCAACTTATGGATTAGAGCTTTGACAGATGTTCAACTGATTAAGCGCAGATAAAAAAAGAAATGTTAGGAATCTGCTTTGGGTTGGACAAGTTTTATCAGTATTTATTTCCTGGTCTCAGTATAGAAAAGTTAAAAAGGGGAATTTTTGATCGGTACTCTTATAAATAATGATGATTTCACACCACATGACTTAAGTTGTCTTGGAAGGATGGACAAGCTTTGTATCAGTTGTCAAAAATTTTTTGGAGAATCATAAAACTGAAGAATGTAGTACACAAAATGCACCAGAATTATCAAAAGTTAGGATTAAGTGTCAAATAGCATTATTTGCGGTAATTATAGCGAAAACCGATTCCACCAGGACATCAAGGTTATGGAGGAATGATATCAAGGTTGGGATCGTCATATCATGGCGAACTACTGCTGGAAATTGCAAGCAGATCAAAAACACCATAGAAAATCCCATACAAAACGTTTTTCTTAACTCTTATTGACATGTTTTTGTTTTTTATGATTAATTTTATTATTTTTTGTATCATTTGTAGCTCTTTGTTTTAAAAATTTAATTACCTATATAAATGAATTGCCTTTATCTTAAAAAGTAGAGTCAATTCAACAAAAATATTATTATTTTAGTATTCAGGAGACCAAAATTACCTAAAATTGACTAATAAACCCCATGCCATTGTAATAAATATTATCACTATCATTCGAAAACAGTTATTATCCATTTAGGAAAGAAATTTTTGATTTATTTAAAAAATTTGTAATAAATTTTAACCTTAAAATTGTGAGAAATGGTAATAATTAAATCGAATTTTAGCGATAATTATAAATTCTTATTTAAACCTTAAAACATTCGTTTGTTTTAGCTTGAAAAGTAGGCGAGGGTTTAATAAAAACTATGGCTAATAAATCACTTAATAAACTTAAACCATCTCCACGCCTTTTAAATGGTGATTCAGAAGCTGTTGCTAAAAAGTTTGTTATTTTATCACATAAACTTCTACAAGCACCAAAAGATTCTTGATTAATCTAAAAAATAACTATTTTTATATAATTTTCGTTTTATTTTGTGATAATTTATAATTTACCCCAGCTTTTCCAAGAAATTCAAAAATATAAGGTCCCTCAAAAGTAGTTCCTTCATTTGAAACTACAATTTCATCAAGGGCTTTTTCAAGTTTTAAAAGCATTTCTTTTAATATACACAATTCTTCGGCTTCAAAATCTTTGGGAATATCAACATCAGTAAAAGCACCACTTGTATCTGATAAAGCTTTCATAACTTCAGAAGTTTCTTCTATGGCCATTGTAATATCAGTATTTTTGATTTGTAAAGAGGCACTTTCCTCGCAAATTTTTTCAATGTTATGAGCTTCATCGAGAATAACAACACAATCTTTTAAATTTAATTTATCTAAACTACTTCGAATCCTTTGATCCAAAATGTAATTATAAGGCATAAAAATAATATCAGATTCTTTTGATAATTCTTGAGCCATATAATACGGACAACATCTATGGCTATTTCCAATTTTAACTAGATCTTCTATATCGGTAATTGGATTTTCTCTAATAGAAGGATCATTTTTCATTCGTTCAATACGATTATAAAACATGCAAGTTCTAGATTTTACTTTAATTTGACACATTAGATTTTTATTCGCTTTTTCGGACATTACTTCAGGGTTAATACACAATTGCTCTCTTGAACCAATTACAGTCGCTTTCATGTGTTTATAAGCAGTTTTTCTTAATTCCTGCATAGCTTGAGATAATTGAGAATGTGTCCTTGATGCATAAATAATTCGAGGGGGTGCAAAAAAAGAGTTGACACGTTTTGCTCCCCCCATTTTGTTCAAATCATCTAATAAATCTTTCATAAAATCATCAGCCTCCTCCATACATCCAGCACGTAATTGGCCTTGCATTTGCGCTTTCTTCGCTGTCAACCAAGCCAAAGACGAACATAACAACGATAAAGTTTTACCTGTTCCTGTAGGAGACTCTAAAACACCATTTACATCATTTTGAAGGCATTCTAACACTTTTTCCATATAATCTTTTTGAATTGAGTATGGTTCGAATGGAAACGACACTGAAACCCCCCTTAGATTACATGTAGACATAACTAAGAAATTATTATAAAACTACAAACGTCTTAATTAATACTTTTGACAAGAAAATCTAACCTTAAAATAAATATTTACGCGGGATTTCAGACACAAAGGTAAAAAATGTGATTTCGCGCCATTACGTCTGATTACGTCGCTGGTTTGAGTTTGCGCAGATCTATAACAACAAAATAAAAGATATAAAACGAGCTCCTCGAAAATAATAAATTAATAATGATACTAACCTAGCCCAATATTTTTCCTCTGAGGGGTCAATAGCCATAATAACGATAACTGATCTTTCCCAACCTTATTCGCATTGTTATCGTCGTGTTTAAGACCAGTTTTAACCGTTAAAGTCCAGAATAATACAAATATCTGGTAAAGAATCTTATATTATGCATCATTATTAAAAAATGTGAGGATATAGGTTAAGTGATATGCATTTTTGATCCACCTTTCCAATTCACGATTCTTCTAGTTTATCCGCCTTGTTTAGATATAGTATTATTCCAATTTATTAAAGAAGTAAGGTAGTTTGCAATGTCAAATTTCATATCCGCCATATCACTACATGTGTTAGTTGTCAGTATTTTTTTGAGCGCCATCTAGTGAGGGTCATTAAATCATTTGAATCATCTACATATCAGACTTAAATATATCTTTTGCGTGTCTTATCCTTTAACAACAGACAAAACGTAAATATGTGCAAATGAAAACATAATTTTATTTCACTTTTTAAAATTTTATTTTTTAATCAAAACAGAATTGAACATAGTAGTGCCCTCTATCGTTAAATGGATCTTGAAATTATCTTAAATGTTTCTTAAATATTATTTTTAAATTATCATTTAAATATCATATTACCAATTAATTTAATTAATAGTTATTAATTTTAAATAAATAATAATAATATATAAATGAATTAACAAACTTTTAATATTTTTAACCTCCCCTTACGGCGAATATTTGTACTATAATTTTGATCTGTCAAATTTGTAAAATTCGTTTTAAAATCGTCGTCGAAAGTTTATTATTTTCGTGGAACTATGGAAACTTCAAGCATAGCACTTCGCCGATTGATGATACAACAATTAGAACCGGATTTAAATAACGTATTGATAATAGGTATAATAATTGCGAAACAACGTCCGAGGAAATTTACAAGCACGGGAAAAGATGGCATTTCTGAACGCGGAGTTTGGAATTTTACGCTTCGCGATACCCCTAGGGATTATATTAATTGTACGTTTTGGGGGCAAGGTGAGGAAATATGGAAATTAGCCGAAGCCTTTCAAATCGGAGATGTAGGTAAGTAATTTTTAATTTAATTATCATAATAATTATCTCTTACCCCATTTTTTTTTTATTTTAGTCGAAGTAACTCGCCCAAGGATTTCTATAAGAGCCATCGATAACCATGGGGAACAATTTCGACCGACGGTTACATCCCCTTATACATTAACTTTATATGATAATCAATCGAGGATCACTCGATATCAAAATCCTAATGAATTTTTACGTTTATTGAGATATCCTACTAAACCCTTAGCTATTTTTGTAACAATAGCTGATGTTCAATCTCGCGATATCACATCAGGTCATTTTTGATATTAATTTTTAATTTTTAACAAATTGATTAATTTTAGCTCCAAAATATGTTGATATGTTAGTTGCTGTCCGTTCTATAGGCGTAGTTCGCAATGTTAAAACTAAATCAGGTATAGAACAGGAAGTTCGTGATTTTACCGTGTTGGATCACACTTCAGAAGGTGTGAGAATGACTACTTGGGATCCAGAATTAATCGCTAGGTTTCTTTAATTTAAAACAAATTGATTTTCTCACTTTTGTCATTAATGAATTAATTTAGAATCGGTTTTTGGAAACCTCGAACAACAATTTTATTTCTCGCGGACGTTAAAGTTGAGTATAGTCATTTTCATAAATCTATAATGCCTGTAATTGGATCTAGAACAATTATAACTGAAGACCCAATCGGCCAGGAAGCCGAACAATTAAGGAATTATGCTTCAACTGCTCCTTTACTTCCGTCTCATATTATAGAGCAGCTAATGTCGAGATATAATCGTAGGTTTAATACGTAATTTAGAATTTTTGAAAAGAATTTATTTTATTGTTTAAGCAACAACAATTAAAAATATAATGACAATTAATCAAGTTCAACAAAAAGTTGATTCAATGATGTCTTCATCAAATCTAAGAAGATTAGATGATAGACATTTTGTGGCTTTATTATATTGCATGGTGAGCCACTTGGATTTGGATGGTTTACTTCCGGTTACTACGACAAGATGGTACAATTTATTTGTTTTTTATAAGCTTAAGAAAACTTAAAAATGATTTTTAGTAAGAGATGCAAATATCTCATTAACAATAATCAATTATGCGAAAATGAGGAGTGTGTTTCATCGAGAGGAATTGAAATGGTCGATTTAGAAACGACTTTCGACATTAGAGTTAACTTAAGTGATCATACCGGGTCGATTAATAACTGTAGATTAGTCGGAACGACCGCGGAAGAAATTTTGGGTTGTTCGGTAAAAAAAATTGATTTAAAATTTTTTTTTTAGTAATAAATTGAATTTTTAGGTACAAAAGTTTATCAATATGTCCGACCATGAAAAAGGCGAATTAAAATGGAAATATTTACTCGAACGTTGTGAAATTCGCATCATCGTTTTATGCACAAAAAATGCAAATTCCAAAATTTCTATTTTAAGCTGTTCACGTTCTTCACCGATTGATTTTGCTTCAAATATTCCTATTTGTTAAATTATTTTTTTCTTGTTAATCGATTTAGGTGATTAATTCGCGTTTTGTTCCTATAATTATACAAAATACTATATTAGTTTAAAAATTAAAATGTTAAAAGGAAAGCCACGCCGGCAAATATCCATTTATCTCTTTCATTCGGATCACAAGATACTTGAATGTTACTGATTTTTTTGATCCGGTTTGAGGTTAAATATAAAGGTACTTGAAGAATCTTTTCGCTGATGATGTTTTGTGTCTAAAACAATCAAGTGTTTGTATTAAATTAAAATTATTTATGTATTAATGCAATTAAAGTAATCCTATTTTAATAAATATAGCTTAAAGATACACTTCAGGTGTATTATCTCTTTCAGGACCAAGTCAGATTTGACACTTTATTTGGTTTATAAATACGGTCCTTAAAGGGTTAAAAGGTAAGATTTCATTCCATTAATACATAAATAAAGGTCTGTAATTGAAATTGTTTTTAGATGAAAAAAATGGAATTTATTTACCTTGTTTATAAACCCAAAGTAACAATTAGGAACTGAGTTAGCACTTTCAGCGTCACTTGTACAATTTGTTAAACTAAACCCATCGAATAAAGCGCCGGAAATTAAAAGACCTTCGAGTGGAAGAAAATCTTCGACTGGTTTCCAACTTGTAGATATTTCGAGTTCATCTAATGGAATTTTTCGCTTTCTAAAAATAGGTATACATTAATATAAATTTATTTAAACAATTAGTCATTGATTTAATTTATTATATTATAGTGCTAGGATGCGTTTTAACTGGTCTAAAATTGCAGTAACAAGAATTCGTTTTGGATAATCGTTCGTCAAGGTAGGTGCATACTTGTTTAATTGATACAATTTCGCGGTTTTTTTTTGCTCAAATTCTTATCAACCCAAATCAACATCTTAAACCGAGTTATTTATTGCGAAACAGAAAAGAAACACGAATTCTCAATAAAAATAACATTGAAGATCTAAACGCTACTATATAAAAAAAATATATAAATCAATTCAATTTACCTAGAAAAATGTTGTTTAAAAGCTGCTAAAAACCCTTCAGGATTAAACATTAAAGATAAATTAATTCGAGTTTTCAATAAAACATCTAAATCGTCATTTTGCCAATTTCGAATTTTAACCGTTTTAACGATAAGATATCTCAAATATTTATTAGGATCATTCGGTCCTTGCCACAATTTCAACCAAGTTTCGGGTATTTTTAAATTTAACAACAACGAACCATTTTTAAAATTGTAATTATCCGGAATCGTGTTGCTTCTAATGATTCGATTAAGTTGCGTAAAATCTTTATGAACGATTTGTATCAAAACTAAAGCGTTATAAAATTCTTCCTGTAAGAAATTTATGATGGGGGAATCGTTTTCTTTAAAACGATAATGTTGTAAGTTAATTTTAACGAAATCTTGGCCTTGATTTAATTTTTTCCACAAATTAATTAATGGGGCTAAACCTTTCTGCCATAATTCTTTGTTAAATTTTTCGATAGATTTAAATTCTAATAATCCCCTTAATTGGCCGATTATTTTGTTACTCATATTTAGCTCCCACGATCGATTTATATTTTCGGGTAGTCCAAAAAAACTCGGTAAATCTTTGTTTGGTAGTTGTTGAATAAAGTTGATGTATTCTTGTATTTTGTTAGTCATTGGGATTGAATTATTTATTCCGAAAGGTTTCCAACGGTGACTTAAAATGTCGTTGTTTAAAAATTGATTTAAATACGCCTCTAAAATTGAGCAATCTAAAATGTTTTCGATTCTTCCGCCGTAAACGGCATCTAAACATAATCCTTTAATGAATTTCCAGGAAATTGCGTTAGCTTGGGATGACCAATTTTTTTCGGTTAATTTTATTGATGTTGTTAAATCTAAATCGGAAAATTCGTACCATTTTGACCATCCTTGTGGAATGTAAATTCTTCTTTCTTGTAATAAAGCGTGTATACAAGATAAAGCGAAAAAAATTCTTGTCCCACTTGGTGTTAATTTGTTCACGTAACTCGATTCTGAGGTGGAAAAAGTTCTTTGTATGTTACTTTTTATCCCAGCGGGTGCTTCATAAGCAATTTTCATACAATTTTGTGCCAAAACTGGACTAAACCCATCATGAGGCTCAGTAACCAACCATAATCTAAATTTTAAATCAACCTCATTTTTTAAATGTTGCGTTAAAATCGGCAACCATTTAATAACAAGATGTAAATTTTTTAAAATCAACCACCTTCCTTTTTTCATCGCTTCATCTAACTTTATTAAAGCTTCATTTTCTTGTCCTTCCCCCATTGCTACTTCATCATAATTTTCCAAACCAATTTTACTTTCAGCTAATTTTCTTATTTCTAAAGATGGGTCGTTTCCGGTTGTTGTTAAAACCAAAATAGGTTCGTTACAAGTCGATTCGTTGTAAATTTCAATCAATTGGGGTACTTCAATGTTGATAGTTTTTAAACCGGAAATACGTGTTACAAATTGGAGTAAAATCGAGTAAATTCGATCCGGTTTTAATGTTTGGATTAACAAAACGCGTTGAAATTCGCTTAATTTGCAATGTTGGGGGAATTTTAAGTCAGGATCATCAATATTTATGAAAGAATTCCATAAAGTTTGTTCGTTTAAATTGAGGCTTTCATAAAGTTCGGGTTGATTTTGCTGGAAATAATGCAATTTTGGTTTAATTATATCCGGAATCCAAGATGGGGTTGAAGTTGTGGTTTTTAATTCTTTCGTTGAGATCCCTAAAAATGTTCTCCATTCATCGTCAGATATTTGATGGGGGTAAACTTTGTGGATTAAATGTAAAAGGAATTTTAATCGGTCCGATTTTAATAATCCTCTTCCTATGACATGATAAACTGATTGGAGTAAAGATTTTTGTTGGGAACATAACGTTGTTTCGATTTCCTTAAAAAAAATTATTAAATTAGATTATTTTAAGTTAAAGTACACTAAAACCTCGATATAACGGATTAATTTTAGTATTAAATATACAGGTTAAGCAGCATAATCCATAAACATAAGCAACAATCTAGCGCCGAATAAGCTGGAAATACCCCGAGTTTATCTATTAAATAGATATTAATACTAGGACTTAAAAATATTTTCCGTTCTAACGAGGTCTATTATACTCTGTACTTACTCCTGTTGCTAAAATTGATTTTAAAAATAATTTAATATAAGATGCTATTGAAATGGTGTAAAGAACATTAACTTTGGAATATTCTAAGATTCCAAAATATAATAAACTTGCAAATGAAGCGATATCTTTATAAAATTCGACCTCTTCGCGTAATTTTTCTTTGATTTGTTTTGATTCTTCGAGAGCTTGATTAATGTCGTTTGAACTTGCTTTAGTTTCGTTTAAAGAATCCAATAAAGCCTAAAATTTATTTTAATAATAATAAATTAATTACGAATTAATTAAATTAATACTTTATTTTCCAAGATATTTCCAGTCGAATTCGCTAAATCCTCTAATAATTGATTTTGGAGATTAAATTGTTTTTCTTGCAGTTCTTCGCGATTTCTTAATAATTCTTTACGACGTTTTTCAATTTCAGGACTTTGTTGTCTTACAGTGTTCATTAATAATTTTTCTAAAATCATAAAATTAATTAATTATTTTTTGTTGATTAATTTGATACCTGATAATCCGGAGTGAGTTATATTAAAATTAACGATGCAAATACAAGAAATTAAATCTGTTGGGATTTTAAATTGTGTGTTGCGGGTGTTGAGGAATATTTGGAAATCTGGGTGGAAATCGATCAATTTTCCGCATAAATTAATCATTTTTCTTTCACCTAAATACAAAGTTTAAATCAAAAATTTTTTAATTAAAATATTTTGAAAATCACACCTTGATAAACAAACTCTTTTCTAAAAATTTGTAACATTTCGTATGGTACTTTTTCGAGGTCTTCAACAATAAGAATTTTCCCGAATCTAATCGATAATTCTAAGGTGTTTATAAATTTGGGGGATGTCGAGGTGATTTTTTCAATCGTTTTTTGTCGAAAATGTGTCTCTAACCATGTTATTGCGGTTGATGTTGGATCTATGATTAATGGAAATATTCTTGTCTATAAAAAAAATTAAATTAATAACAGATTAATAAATTTCTAAATAAAAATTATTTACATTCAATAAAATAATCGCGTTTTGAGTTGATAATTGATCAGATCCTAAACCTTCACTTTGCCATTGAAGTTGTTCCCGTTCGGATGATAAAAAATTCTCGAAAGAAAATTCTAAGTGGGAAATATCTGTTAAGATATCTTTCCAAGTATTTTGAAGGTTCCTAAAAAAATGTATTATTATAAATATGAAGGTTTTTACGCCCGGTGTTAATTGAACTAAAATTATCACTAGAACTAAAAATAGACCAAGAAACTTTTGGGTTAATAAACAATTAATTGGGCCAATTTTTGTCAAATCCGGGTGGAGAAATCTTCATTGGATCTTATTTAATCCCTCTTATGCTCTATGATCCAACATTCCATATAATGTGATCTACATTTAATGTTAGTTCTAGTGACGTGATTTAATTTTAATTCAAAAATATCTTATTATTAAGTAAAATTACAATCTAATATCTTCTGGTTCTCCCGAAAGATAAGTAATAAACCCAGCTACCATCAAACAATTTCCAGGTAAATTTTCGAGTTCCCTCGAAAAATTTTTTAGCTACAACAAAACATTTAAACAATTAAAACAATCTTTTTAATTCTTATTACCTGTTCTTTCCATCTTTCGTATTCATCATTTAATCTGTCAACTAAAATTTGAGCCGCGTTTAATGTTGATTGAACCGATTTTAATCCAATTTCAATTTCAGCAGCCTCTTTTGTATAAGTAGAAAGTTGTTCTTTTAATTTTTGAACTGTTGCGTCGACATCTAATAAACCAGCACTTAACACTCCCAATTGATCTTTTGATTGCTCCAAGTTTCTAAATTGTTTAACAAATAGATTAATTAATTAATTAATTTGATATTTACCTTTTTAATTTATTTTTTTCCATCGTTAAAGGTTTAATTTTATCGAGTACATGAGAATATCTCACATTTGCTGTTACCCAAGCTGCTAAAGGTGCGGCAGCGATCGAAGCTCTTTTAGCAACGGCCGGATCAAAACTGTCACTTTTATTTTTTAATAATCTTTCAACGGATTGTCTACTTTCCGGTGATATTCTGCTAGCTTCAAACGATTTAATATCTTCTTTAACTCCTCTTTTAGCCAAAAAGGTTTTCATGCTGTTCCATGAAGTATCTTGAATCCCCATCAACCTTAAAACACCCTCTAAAATATCTCTGATGGCTTCAGGTGGTGCTCTTAATGATCTTATTTCCGATAAAGCTTCAGTTTTAATGTTCCCAACAGCCGCGCTAGCTTGTTTTATTAAAGGTTCAACTTCCGCTAATTCAACTTCAATGTCTTTTTGTCGCCTTTGTAACATTACGTTTTCATTCTCAGTATCTTTTTTTAAAATTTCCATTTCTTTCTTTTGACTATTAGCGTCTCTCATTGTATTACTGATCATATCTAAAGCCGAATTTGCCATTTCTTGTTTTTCAGCCAATTTCGATTGTTGTTCTGACGCTTTTAATTTTAATTCATCAACGATTTGGCGAGCTTCTGTTAATTTTTTTACCCCAGCCTAAACGATTTTTTTATAAAAAAAAGAATTAGTTGAATATTTTTAATTACCTGTAATTTAGTTTGTTTTTTTAAAATCTCGTCTTTCTTTTGAATGTAAATTTCTTTGTAAATTTGAATTAACTCAATGTATCTAAATGGTGTAGATTTTGTTGTTGAATGAATGTCGGGGAAATATTTTGTTATTGATAAATGATCCGGGTACAATCTAAATAAAAAGAGAATTATATATTTAAAAAAAAATGTTTTAAGCGATGTTCAATTACTCATTAAGTAATTTAGTAGGAATTTCCTCCATTGATGAATTTTCCCATCGCGAAATCCACACAATATCACATTTTTGATAAATCGTTGGACATTCTGATAAGATATTCCAAAGTTGATCATTATTTTCATCCAAACATATTATTATATGAAGCTTTTGTTTTACACCTGCATAAAAAGTTATATCATCAATAACTAAAATGTTATACTAAATCAATTTTGGGAATTAATTACGTTTAATAAAAAAATTAAACAAATTTCCTTCAAAATTCTCCCTTGAAGCTTCATCTTTTAAACCGATTAACATAGAATCTAATTCGGCATCGTTGAATAACCCCGGAATCTGAAACAAAGCATTTTTGGTGATTTAAGAAATTAAATTGGAAATAAAAATACTTCTCCTGAACATAATAGTGTATTAACGGCATTAATTATTGAATTATCGTTCATTATATGGTCTTCTAATAAAAAATGGACGTCTTCTCCTTCAACTCCACATAATTGTAGTACCTAAAATATTTTTAGTAAAAAAATGTTTTAAATCTAATTCAAATTTTATTTAACTTGTTTTAAGTCATTAAAAAACGTTTTTTGATTCGCTTTTGGTATCACCAATTTAGAATTTTGTAAAGATGAAATGATTTTAACGGCAGATTTTCTTCCAACGCCCATTTTGCCAATTAATAAAATATTACCTTCGTTATCAGACATAGTTTTACTTAAAATTGAGGTTAAATATAATAATTCGGGTATAAATAGTAAATTTAATTTGCAACCATCACGTTCGTATTGAAGGATTCCTTTTTTTAATAAAATTATCCAATCATCTTTGTTTAGCTTTGATAAAGAATTGTGAATGTTTGATATTGTAAAGGTTGGGACATAAAAATGGTTTCGCAAGTTATCCAAAATATTTGATTTTCCCCAATCGCTCAAAAACGCGTTTTTTAGGATTGAATCGAGCGTTAATCGGTGATCAAAAGAAATCAAGCGGCTTCCAAATATAAATCTGCACTCATAAAAAGTAATTTCCAACAAAAAAATTTCGATGTCTTGATTTGATTCGTTTTTATATCTGGGTAATTGTTTACATAAATACGATATGTCATTTGGGCTAAATTTGTAATTCTCATTTTCGGCTGTTGTAAACGTTTCACAAACCTTAAAAAGAATTTATTCATTAAAAGGATTTTTTTATTATTTATTATTATTACCTTATCATAAATTGTAAGAATTGTATTCGTTAATTTTAAAATTTTTTGTTTATTCCAAACTTCATTTTTTGGTAAAATCTCATTTATAACTTTACTTAATTGATGATTACATATTTTTGTTAAATTGTCCAATTCGGGTAATCTAAAAAAAATTTTTAATATAATGATTATAAAATTACTAGATCAGGAACTAGTTTCGGGTTTAGCCCTGCATCTTCAGGCAGGTTTTTATAATAACGAAAGATGGCGCTATTGCGAAATTATAATATAAAATTTACAAGTTTGAAAGGTTAAATAAACTGTCATGACCAAAAAATTAAAAGAATTATGGCTTGGTTACAAGATTTAGCAATAAAAACTGAAACGCTATTAGATAAAATCGATAAAGGTGCTAATAATCTTTTTAACGAAACTAACGATCCAGATTCAGAAGTGTGTTTATCGATACAAATACCAGAAAATAATTATATGATACAAGAAAATCAAATTAACACCCAATTCATTGATTTATCCAACTCCAATTCATCAAATGAATTAATAAATGAGTCAGAAACAAATATTGAGTGGTATAAAACAGAAATAGATATGATTAAAAGTAACTATGAATGTAAAAATATTGAATTGGAAGATTATAATAATCGATTGAGAAGACAATTATTAGATTTACAACATAATTTTTCCGAGGTAAATAATGAAAATGAATTCTTAAAAAGTCAAGTTGAGCAAGCTAGAAATTGCGTTTTAACAGTTGAAAACGAAATGATTGATTACAAAAATAAAGTACAAAAAGTGTTGTGTAATAAAGAATTTAACTTAGTAAAAGAAATTCCGGATAAAATAAAAATAAACGAAGATTTACAAAAAAACATTGAATACCTTGAAGAGGTAAATCGCGTTTTATCACTAAAAATTCAAACATTAACACAAAATTTAAATTGCCTTCATGATGAATACAAAAATTCACAATACACTAATTCAAAGGATCTTAAAAATTTACAAAATAACTTGGAAAACGAACGAAAATTACGAATTTCTTTAGATAAAGAAAATCAAGATAAAAATGCAGAAATTACAGCTTTAACTTTGGAATTGAATAACCAAGTTAAGTTATTTGAAGAAAAACGTAAAGAATGCGATACTTTAAGAGACGGTATGAACAAATCCGAGGAAAAAATTGATTTAACATTACGAGTTCAATCTTTAACTGAAACATTAATTTCAAAACAAAATACTTTGGAAACTTTATCTACAGAAAAAACCGTTTTGAAATTACAATTAGAGAAAATTCGTAACGAATTTCTCCAGATGATCGATGAGAAAGATAAAGAACTCAAAAAAAGAATACAACCGATTAAGAAGTATAATGAAAAGAAAAGTTTTTATCGATCGAAATTATTTCCTAACATATTAATTATTTATATATTTTTGGTGCATTTTATGTTATTTATTATTTTATATTATTATATACCGAAATAAAAAGTTGTCAATCATTTTTGATATATAAAAAATTATAATCATCAAGTTTTTCGCTGAATAACAATTAAAACTAACACTAAATCTAGAACTAGACACATACGAGTTTAGCCGTGCGTCTCTTAAGATGGCTAAACCCGAATATTTCTAGTTCTTAATATCTTATGCTAACTAGCGCTATCTACCACTGCCACTAGACCGAGAACTAGAAACATTCGGATTTAGCCGCACGTCTTTCAAGACGGCTAATCCCGAATGATTCTAGTTCTAGGTCTTGTGTTAGTTCTAGTTTTACACTAGCACTGTTACTATGTAGAACTAACACTAGACCTAGAACTAGAAACATTCGGGTTTAGCCGCACGTCTTTTAAGACGGCTAAACCCGAATGATTCTAGTTCTAGGTCTTGTGTTAGTTCTAGTGATAGTGCTAGTATAAAACTAGAACTAACACTACACTGATTGTGAGAAAAATAATGTAGGAATACTACCTAAAATTTAGTCATATTATCTAGAATTTTTAGTCAAAAATTAGCTAACTACTACTACTAGTTATAAAAACTAATTCTATTTCGATAATTTAAGATAGATAAATGATCGAAAAATGTATCTTATAAATATCTAATCAAATTAGTTTCATTATATAATATTTATAGATGTTTTTACTATTAATATTATTTTTATTATTAATGGTAGTAAGATAACTTTATTACTTAAATATAGACGTCGTACCTAAATTTTTGTATTAAGATATATTTTCTATAAACGATCGATGTAACGATGAAAACAGGTAGACAAAACGACTAAAATACATTTAAATAAAGTATTTAATAAGAGTACATTTGTCCATTTATGTCAAATATTTCATTGTTAAATGTATATAGATATTCAGACTAGAACAAAATAGACAAAATACCAAATACTTTAGGTAACTAAACTACTCAACAACTAGGCTAGTTTCCACGATGTAGTTTCTTTTTCTAAAAATAATTATATCTCCTCAGTGAATAGATAAATTAACTATCATAAATTTGACTAATTAGAAGTGTATATGTCAGCTAAATTACATTAGGTAAATGAATAAATTTTCTAGCAAAAATGACTATTTGTCTAACAACTAAATTAATTTACTTCAATTTTCCATATCATTTTTCTCAGTGTAGACCTAGAACTAGAGAATTTCGGGGTTAGCCGTGCGTCTTCAGACGCTATTTTACGATATTTTTTAGTTCTAGGTCTAGTGTTAGTTCTAGTTTTAGTTTAATGAAAATATATAACAAAAAATGTTTTTATCGATCAAAATTATTTCCTAACATACTAATTATTTATATTTTTTTGGTGCACTTTGTGTTATTTATTATTTTATATCATTATATGTCAAAATAAAAAGCTGTCAATCATTTTTAATGTATAAAAAAACCATAACAACCTCATCAAAAATGTTTTGAAATTTGTCACATTTTGAAATAATAAAAGCTTACCCGAGACCATAAACATGTACAGATGAAGAAAATCGCATTGATAAATTATTAGGAGTGGACATAGTACCCACAACAGTAAAATTAACCAATCCAACCCATTCTAGAGTTTCAGTAAAAAATCCTTCGTAAACCATGACCTGTTGTAAAAGAAACAAAATGATTAGTACAGATTCGGAAAGTACTTTTTTCTTTTTTTATAACTACGCTTTTTTACCGATGTTAATGGTTTATCTATGTATCCCCATTGCAACTCTCATTAAATACATATTCACAGATATTATGAAGGTAATTGCTCAAAAAAAATTAATCCAATCTTAAAACATTTCATTTTAAGGTTTACAATGTGGAAACAAAGAAAGACTTAACATATTTAAATGACACCGATGAACTGGTAAATATAAAAGTAGAAAATGCGATATTAAAAGGTGAGATACAACACAGAAAATACATAAGAGATATGTTAAGTGTATTAAGAAATTACGAATACACTTTACAAAGATTTGTCGAGGAACATAAAAAAGTTTTGAATGAAAAAGAAATTTTGCAAAATATGTTGAATGTGATCGAAGGTGATTACGAAATTTTAAATTCAAAATATGTTAAAGCTAGAGAAGTAATTGATGGTTTAGAAAAAAACGAAAAGTATTTAAGAAAGAACCTTCAAGATTGGGAAAGTACGATGACGGAAATCGAGAAAAGATACGAAAGTTTTAAAGAGTACACCGTCGATAAAACCGATAAAGAGAATTATCACACGAAAACGACCGAATCTGAGTACAAACACGAAGTTAGTAAGGTTAAAAATAAAGTTGTTGAAAGTAAAATTAAAATTAATAAAACTGAAACGAATGTTTCCGCTATGTCTATGAAAAAAGGGGTTAAAAAGAAAAATAATATTTTTGATCCACTTATTTCCGATATTGATTAAAAAAAATAATTTTGGGTTGAATTGTATTATTTTTTGAGGATGTCAATAAAATTTGGAAGTTTTTGTTATATTTTTATGAACAAAATTTTATTTATTATTACCTGCTGTAAAAATTCCACCACCATATTTGTTCCCCATTTATCAGATTTTAACAAATGCATATTTTTAAAATGTATCACTAAGTGACCTTTTTTTGGTTTGTAAACTCTTCCTTTGTTGCTATTTACAACGATACAATGCTGTAACAAATTAGAGATTATTTCTTGTATTAAAAGATCCAACATTATTTTAAAACTTATTTTTTAACATACCTGTTTTAGTTTATGTATTAAATATTGTGGACTACTATAAGCACTACAATGAACTGTAGCGAGATCAATATCAGACCGTTCTTGTAAAACTTGCTTTAAAATTAAAGTTTTAGCGCATCCATGAGGACCGATTAAAAGAAAGTGTTCTTCTTTCCCAGGAATTAGCCATTTTCTGATACAACTCATAGCTAAAGAAATTTCTCCAGTTATAATTAAATCATCTCTAATAATTATTTGTTTTGAATTGTAAGTATCGATATTCCCTTGTTCGTTATAATATAAATTTGAAAGATATTTCGGTGGGGATTCATCAGTTGAATCAAAAATCTAAAAAAAAATAATCTCGTATTATTTAAATTAGATAATAATTAGATATTAATTACATATTGAGTTAACCCTTCCTTAAATTCTTCATTAATTTGGCAAATCAACCCGTTAATTAAATTAACACAAAACTCAGCTTTCGAACAAGAATTTTTTACTTGAGAAAACGCACTTTTCGCCAAACCCAAACTGGATCTCCTCATAATCATCTCGCAATTATTTTCAACCCAATTAATTGATTTATAAAAATAATCGTTCATGTAGCTTTCAAAAACGCCTTCAAGGTTGTAAGATTCCAAAACATCTTTAACCAAATTATCCTTGCTTTCAAGAAAAACAATTCCCATTCGCGATATGGTCGCTGGCGAAGCGTTTTTTAATTCGTGCGTTTCAAAAATGAAATTAACGTTAGGGCCAAATTGTATTCTCCAACCGGATGGTAACGATAACAATTTATTATCGTCTAAAACTGAATTTAACGATTCCACCCAATCTGGGTCGATATCACCATCGCAAACAATCCAAGAAAAAGTTTCTAATGGTTCTGATGTTACTTGTAAACTATACATTGGTAAAATTCCATCGATCCATTGGCGAGTATCTAAATCAATTTGACCTAAAAGTTGAGTTCTTGATAAAGATTTAGGGTTGAAAATTTTTTGTTTAAGAGTTTTTCCCATTTTATTTAAAGCCTAAATAAAAGAAATAATCAAAATTAATTTAATAAAGTATTTTATAAAGTTTACGTGAAACAAAATATTTCTTATCGTTGTTTTTCCTGAAGATGATGGCCCAACGATAGCAACTCCCATTCTTTGTTGGAGTTGTTGGTATAACTCAACACATTTTTCCAACTAAAAATTAAAATAATTAATTAATACATAAATAACTTTTTATTAAAAATTTTAATACTTGTCTCGGATTAATTTTAAGTCCTAATTCAGTACAAGAATTCCCCAAAATATCCCATAAACCTTGCTGATCATTAATATCATAAGAAATCGACGGAAACACATCTTGAATTAACGCATCAATTTTTTTACTATCATTTAGAGTTAATTTCGAAATCGTATCCATTCTTAAAGCTCGAACAACAAGATTTAATTCATTTTCTTGATTGTTTCGTTTCATGTTTTGTCCACAACTTGTTAGCACAGTTTTTAAAGCTCTCAACCCCCAATCGTAATGATGTTGTTTACTTAGTAATTGGCTTAAGATTAAGAAATAATATTAGTAGTAGAATAGTAAAAAAGTTATTATGAAATTACCTGGATAAGTTAAAAATTTCAATTAATTTTTTTGCAATCACATCAGCATTTTTAAATCCATCAGATCGAAGTAAAGTTTTCGCGATTTGTTCGTGATCTGGTTGGCTCATAACAATTGGGCGAAATAATTGTTTTAAATTATCGGGGAGTTTGTGTCTTCCACCATAACTTCCCCCAGCTGGGTTTAATGTTACAAAAATTCCACAATGATTATTTAAAATCATCTTTAAAAAATATATATAAAAATGTGTTTAAGTTTGGATTAATTTGTACCTCTTTATTTAATAAAACTACGTGATTTCGTTTCTCTTTTAACGCAATTTGAATGGGTTGTATGTACATGCTTATTGTTGATAATGTCGCTTCATCTAAGCGATTAAATTCATCGAAACAACCCCAAGCTCCAGTTTTTACGAGTCCAGAAAGTATTCTTCCCATTGATGAGGCATCGATTCCTTCATCGCAATTAAAAACTAGGACTTGTCTACCTAATAATGAACCTAAAGCTTTTACTGATTCGGTTTTTCCAGTTCCAGCGGGGCCGTAAGGGTTTCCCCCCATTCCCAAATGTAATCCCTTAAATAAATTTTATTAAAATGAGGTGCAGTAAAATCTCGATATAACGGATTATTTAGCACTAGATTGTTGTATATTTGTCATTGAACTAAAACTAGAACTAACACTAGACCTAGAACTAGAAACATTCGGATTTAGCCGCACGTCTCTTAAGACGGCTAAATCCGAATGTTTCTAATTCTAGGTCTAGAGTTAGTTCGAGTTTTAGTTCAATAAAAATGTAGAACAATTTAACACTGAATAACAACTAAAACTAGAACTAACACTGGCATTGGAGCTAATACTAGACGCAGAACTAGAAATATTCGGGTTTAGCCGTCTTAAGAGACGTGCGGCTAAACCCGAATGTTTCTAGTTCTAGGTCTAGTGTTAGTTCTAGTTTCAGTTTATTAAAAATATACAACAATCTAGCCATGAATAACAATTAAAATTAGAACTACCGTCCTTGATTTATACATCCTATAGACAAATCGAGGAATACCCCGAGTTTATCTATGAACATATAGAATAGATAATATTAATATCCGTTATATCGAGATTTTATAGTATTAACAAAGAAAAAGAAAATGAAGTACTTGAGTTAATGTTAAAAAACATTTATCTGTTAAAGGAGTTCGAACTAATTTAGGACTATTTCCTAAATACTCATAAGAATATTCCATTTCAGCGTTAACCATTTTGATAGAAATTTTTCCATTAATTGAGTAATATCTTAATTGTTTTTGCCACAACCAATCGGTTATTTTCGTTACATTCTCATTAATTAACTCTTCAATAACTGAGATGTGATGGATCGTGTCTAATATTGAAGCTTTTAATTTTAAGTTTAAAACTTGTGATTCAACATCCGATTCATTTTTTTCAGTTGATGTATAAAAATCTAATTGGGACTAAAAAAAAATTATAATTAATAATTAATTAATTTTAATTTTATTTACTTTGTAATTAGTTAATAACGTAGGTAAGCTCATATTTGAAATGGCAGCTTCAGTTTTTGAAGTAAAATTAATCGAATCAGCGAGACATAAAATTTGTGATGGATATTTTGTTGGGTCTAAATTTTGATTTTCATTTAAACAATCGGTTAATAACTTTTTTAAAGTTTTTTGCATCGATTCAACTAAATCATTCATCCAAACCTAAAAAATTAACTTCAAAAATCATTACGTCATAATTAATAAAAAGAAAATACCTCAACTGGTTTTCCAATATCGACCAAATCGATTAATTCGACAACTTCCTTTTCCAAAGATTGAACAGCAACAATCGACCCCTCATTTTCATCGAATTTAATGCTGTGTATCCCGGCGAATAATTTTTTTAAATGGGATTGAATTACGTTTGTTTTATTAGATTGTCCAACGATTTCTAATAAATCATCATCACCAAGAAATAAAAATCGGGGAAAATTTTCTCGTTTTTCCTACCAAAAATAAAAGATATACATAACATCGCTTTTAAAATTAAAATTAATAATTTCACCATCAAAAAATGATCTAAACTTTTCTGACAACGCCCTAATTGATCTTGTAAATTCTCCAACATCGATCTAACATTACCATATCTACACAACGAACATACTCGAGGATCATCACGTACGAATTTCAAAAGATGCCTGAATTCTTTATCGAGTCGTTCGAAACGTGATTTTTCATGAATCAAAGTTCCAGTGTTAAAAATTGGTTCTAAATAAACCCATTTTCTTTGTATTTGAGCTAAATTAGTTAAATAATTATCTAAATCGGATAATTTGTTCTCCCATATTGAAGCGCGCTCAAAAAAGCTTTGAAAATCCGCTGAGTTTTTCACCGATTGTAATAAACTTTGATTATCTCCGATTCGGTTCAAAATTTCTTTAAAATCTTTTATTAAATAAACGGGTTGTTTATTAACATCTAAGTGTTCCGTTAAAATAAACCTTGATTGAACCTCCCATTGATCCAATTCAGCCAAAGCTTGTCGAACGATTATTTCACTCGCAGCTTTTTTACAAATATTTTGTAAATCTTTGGTTTTTTCGGAAAAATTTGGAATTGAAAGGAAATCTTTTAGATATAAGATATCGATGGGTTTTGGGGTGATTTCGAGGACTTCGTAAACTTCTAACCAATGAGTATCCATGAAATCTTCTCCTCGGACGAGTTTTAAGGTTGGGAGGAGATCTTGAAATGATTGGGTTTCTTTTAAAATGCGTGTCACTAAAGGTGTTGGTTCCATTTTTTGTAATTTCGTTTGCCAATCGAATAAAAACTCTTCAAATTTATAAAGTTTTTTGCGGAAAACTATCCATTCTTCGTTATTTAATTTTTCTAATTCCAAATAAAACTCTTCAAATAGCGACCAAGTTTCTTCTAAATCTTTTAAATCTAAATCGATAGAATCGGATAAAGAAAAATCAGGAACTTCCAAATTAAACTTTTCATAATCTTCCTTAATCTTAATTTTTTGCTCCATCAACAAATTAAATTGTGCCCTTTTTTCTTTCATATTCAACAAATAATTATTAAGATCAATTAAAGTATTAGTAGCGATTTGTCCAGAATGTGGCCGAAATTTAACTTGATCCCATTTCGCTTCAAATCGTTCCAATTCTTTATGCAAATTTTCGGTCGCTACATTTAAAGTTGTTTTTACAGTTTCAATCTAAAATAATTTACGAAATTAAAATGTAATTTAATTAAATATTTAAGCATTACTTGTTTTGAGATAATATGTTTATGATTTTCTAATAAACTACTCAAACGATCCCAAGCAGCTTGAAGACGAACGACAGAATCAATTTGTTCCCGATTCCAAGTCGCCAAAGTTTTCGCTTTCATACAAGTTGAAATGTATAATTCTTCCATCTAAATTAAAAAATAATAATATTAAAAGGTTAAAATTTAAACGGGGTGAAATGGTTGGTTTTTGGATCTTAGAGGTGGTAAAGATTGCCCAACCCAAGCATTCCAGCAAAGCCAACTTCCAGTGTACGTTGTGTACCTCAGGGAACAGCAACAAACAGGAACGTTTTTGAGGAACTGTGAAAGATAGAAAGCGATATATGTCTTCATGAAAGTAAAGAAATAATATGATAGGTAACTACATCCACATATGGGTGAAAAAGTTCAAGAGTCATAAGAGGTGTATCGATAGCAATGCATAAGAGTTTGAGAAGGCATATGAAGAGCTGGCATGAGGTAAATGAGCAGATAATAACGTTGGAAATGGATAAATATGAAGCAGCACTGGAAGCTCTTTGTTACAGAGAAGCTTCAAACGAAAGATATCCCAATTGGTGGTCAGAAAAACTTCAAAGATTGGTGGAACTGAGAGAAAATCAAGAAATGGAATGTCTCTCTGTTCAGGAAATATCCTCATTAAGTTGGATATGAGATATTACACGAATTTTTGGCAAAATTCTTCAACAGGTGTATGTTGAAATGAGATAATATTCCAGAAAGTTGGAAGTTAGCTTATATCATCTCAAATGTTCAAAACAAGAATAAAAGGTTGTGCCAAAATTATCAAGGCATATATGTTACATAGGTTGTATGGAAAAATTTTACAGAACAGTACTAAAATGTAATGGAAAGTAGGTAGGTCATGTATACCTAAGGTCTTGTATCTTGATTTGACCACCCATTTAGCCGTCATCCATGAACCATGAAAAAGTTATCAATTAAATCCCTTGCAATCCAATTGAAACATTTATAGGGACCCCAGGAGTAGTAAACTGAGTTTTTAAAGTGAACAACTCAATATTTGACTCCTTTTAAACAACGAAAGGTCTTAAGCAGAAGTGATCCTGAACTACAAATAAACAACAAAATAGGATGGTGCAAGAAATATATTTGGGCAACAAAATTTTGGACAAAGGAACATCTCCTAATGGTATCCAGAACAGGATATCTTTATTATGGTCAAGTCCGATTAAACTGGACACAAAAATGACAGTGAACCGATCAGTAGTAAAACCAATTATAACATACGGGTCTGAATGCTGGTAGCTCACTGTGAAAAGAAAGAAGCAACTTGAAATGGTGGAAATGAACTTTCTAAAAAGTATCATGACTGGAAAATGTCGCAAATAAAGAAATTAGAGGACGGGCGCATAGAGTATATATGACAATTGATGGTCCAAAAGAGCGTTTGGATGTGTATCTCAACATAGAAGAAGAAGAGGTAGACCAAATACATCCTGAATTCAAGTGATTAGACGGGCTATCTAGGCAGAAGATCGAAATGCGGATGCAGCAGAGGCTATAGGAACCACGTGATATATATACATAAACTTACTTCTGATCTTGTTCGTAAAATATTTGCATGAGAAGCATCAGCTTCACCAATTTCTTCAACAGTAACTAATTGTTTATTTAAAGTTGTAGTTGAATTATCAACGTAAATTTGTAATTTAACAACATCTTGAGCTATCGAATCTTTTAATGAAACTCTTAAAGTATCCCAGTAACTTCTATTATGCGATTCGAAATCATTACGAAGACGTGATAAACCGATTATAAAACATCCAACGCGCTCTTCAGTGCTTTAAAATAAACAACTTTAATATAAATAATATACATAAATAAATAATTTATTTTTTACCTTGGTAATTTAGCAATTTCTTGCCCGAAAACTTTCGAAGCTCTAAAATGTATGTCCCAATCTTGCCAAACGTTTAATTTTGTTGTGTCTAAATTTTCTAAGGTAAGCCAAGATTTCCAATGGTTAGAAACCGATTTGAGTTGGTCAAAAAGTTCTTCGGTGTTTTTATTAACTTTGTCGATTTCGTATTTGGATCGTTCGATAACTCCTGAAAAAAAATCCAACGTTTCGGAGATCCCCCGAAAAGTTTTTGGGATATCCAAAAATCTTTTCAATTGTAAATCGTATTTTTCTTTTAAAACATTTTCGTCCGGCGAATAAACTAAATTTCCGTCGCGATAAATTAAATCGGTATAAATTTCGGGTAAATATAAATGCACAGTTGATAAACTTTTGAGGTATTGAAACTCCAACACTTTTTCTAGTTGTTTATCCAAATCGATTTTCCAATTTTGTAACGATTTGAATCCTTTATTTTGTACTTGGGTCATTATTTCCCGGATTGATTTCGTCGAATCTTTCCAACGTTGATAATGTTTGATTAAATCGACGTTTTCAAGATCTTTTATTTTTTTAATAACTTGATGGTGGAAACTTGTTAACATATTATTTTGATTCGATAATTTTTCAACGGCTCCTTTTAATTTATCGATGTATTTTTCTACGGAATTTACATCTTCCCAATAAACAACTTCTTCTTCTTGAACTAACTTTGATAAATTAACTGCGCTTGCTAACATCATTGGACGTTGTGAAATTATCATCTTATCCCCAATTGTATTATGAAAATTTGCTATCTAAAAGAATTATTATTTAGATTATTTAAATCGGATTTAGCTCAACAAAGGAAGTTATCATACTTGCTCTAAAACTTTTGCATACTTCATAAATTTTCTTGCCAAATCCGCTGTTTCTTCAATATTATTCGGAATTCTATATCCCATAGCGGAAAGTTGTCTTACTTCATTCACTAATGTTACTAAACGTGATGAATAATTTACTTTCATCAATTTATTTTCGGAAAATTTTACAACTGGCTCAGTCTCCTTTAAACTAATTAAAAAAGAAATTAAGATAAAAAAATTTTTAACATTACATTACCTTAAACTATTATTTTTAATTCTTTGTGAAACATCACTAGCCCAATTTTCAAATAACTCATTATGTTGTTGTTTTAAACCATCCAAAATTTCAATAACCCTGCTTTTTAATTCATCATACATTTCCAAGTCATCAAGAACTTTTTCGGAAATCCTCAAAATTTCATTTACCTTTGTTTCGTTTAACCTCACCGAAGTAATATCAATAATAACTTGTGGTACATCGTACCTCGTGCTAATTAAAACCTCAGAATTTTCATTAATATTATTAATATATTCCAATAAAGCCCCTAATAAATACTGACGTTCATTTTGAAGGATTTGTTTAACAAACGGGCGACAAATTAACTCGGAATATCGACCAAATTCGTGTAATAACTGTCGAGTATTAGCATTCATATGAGTTAATTGTCTTTTTAGTTTCATCGCAACTCTTGTTTCGGCAGGTTGAACAATGTACTCAAATTGTTTTTCAGCTTTTCGCCATTCTTGTTCGGTGTAAGGGCTATATTTTAAAATTTGAAGATTTTTGAACGGTTCAAACATGTTATCTACGTTTAAATCTTGTTGTTCATTTATTGTCAAAAGTCGGACTAATTGTTTGTGAATTGTTCTTATGTTTAAAATCTTTTCTAATCCGTTTATTAGATGTTTCAAATTCGTTGGAACAAAACTTTCGCCCGTCCAAATATGTAAGGAATAATTCGGCCAAAAAACTTCAGTTAATTGTTTACAAGAAGTTATCCATTTATTACCAACAGTTGTGCATATGTTTAAAATATCATAAGCTGTGTTAAAATCCAATAACCAAAAATCCCTTTTTGTTATTTCTTTATTTATTGAGTGAATAACATCTGAAGCTGTTTAAAAAAATTAATTTTAGTTAATAAAAAAGTTTAAAAAGGGTGGAGGAAGAACAGGTGAGAAAGACAACGAAAAGAAACGGGGGCAATTGAATTACCGATTATTTCCATTAAATTTTCCATCCTAACTTTAGGAAAAGGTGGTTCATGTCTCCAAAGATCATCCAAAGTGTTATGTGCATTCTCCAATAAATCCTCTACTTCTATTATTGGTAAAGCATCGATTACTCTAAATCAAATTAACAAATTAACCAAATGAAATTTTTATTTAAAACTTATTTACCCAAAATCTTTTGAAAGTGGCAATAAAATCTCTTTAATTTCTTCATATTGTATACGTTCATTTTTATTTTTAGCATTATTTATTGCATTAACCCAAAATTCGACTTCGTTATCCAAACTTAATATGACTAAAAATGATAAAGAAATAAATTATAATTAAATAAATAATTTAAAAAAACTCGCCATTTAAGCTTAACTTATCAACGTTTTTTAATGGATCCGAATCCAAAGAACCACTTAAAATTGTTCCTCTTAGCCCAGTTTGAAGTTGAAATAATTGTTTTTCAACGTTATTTTGTGCAAGACTCTTTCTGTTACCCTAAATTTATTATAAAATCATAAAATGTTCTCTTTTTATTAAAGTTTGCTACTTACTTTATTTAAAATAGGTGTGAAAACTTTATTAAGACTGTGATATAAACCTAGATTTCCTGATTCTTTTAATGAGGTAATCTCAACGACATCGCTTACATTCTCTTTGTTTAAAACCACGTTTTTGATCTTATAAAAAACTACTACTTTCTCAAAATTATTACCAAACTAAAAAATCAATATTATAATCAATTTATAAATAATTAATGTCTCTTACTTACTTCTGTTTGTAATTCCACGTATTTTACATTATCATTATCTTTTAAAATATACGCAAAAAGAGTGAGAGTGTTCTCGTTATCTACAAAATCAAACATTTTTTCTTTACACCTAACATATTTGTCCCACGATTCTTCGGAGAAATTTATCCCAGAATATGAACCTAAAAATTATTTTGTTTATCAAATTTTTAACTTAATTATTAATTATTTACTTAAAATATTAGTAAAAAAACTTCGAAGATTTTCCTCCATTGCACAACTTGACGTTTAGACTTTTGTACTCAACGCGGTTACCATGGTAACCAACACTCACTTGTAAAGCGCCATCTATTATATCTTCAAAATATTAGATTTTAATCAATTTTAATCCTAATTAATCATTTGATTTTTCAAACAATTAATTAATTATTGATTAAATTGAATTGTATCTTTGTTAAAAGAAAGGGGTATATTTATTTATTTATTAATTAGATACATCAATAGTTGGAATAGATTTAGTTCGAGACATAACTATTAGATGGCGCGCAAAATCGAATCAATGAAAGGTGACTTTTAAAACTTCCTCTTTGAATTTCATTACTAATTATTAAATTTATAGCATTTCTAGGTACGAAGTTTTGTTCCATATATAACGTGAAGTTTGGCCAAGCAATTCTACTATTTCGCAATCTATAAACCACTGAAAGCCGTTGAAATTGGAATTAGACTAAGGTTGGTTCAAAATTCCAGAAAGACTCTAACTAAGCGTAGTTTGATGAGCAATTAAGTCATTTCTTCATCAACAGTCTTGAATAATGATAAGATTGAATGAGGAATACAATCGAAGCATAATGGCATCTATTGAAATATTCATTGATTGAGAAAGGAAAACATAATAACGATTAATCCACGATTAGAATTGGAAAGAAGACAAACTAAATCTAACAAAACCGTCTTTGAAAGACTATCGATCTTGGGTGAAGTAGCAAATGTTCGGTATCTCGCATTAAATTGTTATGGTTTAAAAATCAGGCAAGTTTTACGATGTTGAATATAAGACTACAACTTTTACTCTATTATTATTAATAAATTTTGTGTTTTAGGCATCCTCTGGCGACGCATTCACACAGTATATGTTCAGCAGTCTGTGACTCGTCGTTGCAATGTCGACTAGTTTGATCCTCAGCTTGCCCAATGTGGAAGAGATGGTATTTTATGGTCAGGAAGCTTGAGAGCGACAGAGGAATAGCTTTTTACATCTTCATCTAATGGACAATAGGAAAGTTAGGACAATTTAAGCACAGAAACCTTTGCTTAAAGCAAAAAAGCTCAATAAAATTAAATATATCTTTTTAATAATCTTTCTTAAAACTTTCAATTCGTTTAAAAAAAAAACACATTTTAATTATTCACCCCTATGACATTTTGTGCCATCACACCTGTTATTTTTAAAAGCTTCAGTTACGGTTGGATGCTCAAAAAGCTCAAAATAGATACAAACCAACCAAACAAAAACGTTTTAAAGAGAAATTAAAACAATTAACATTCAATTTTCACTCTCAAAATAATTGTTCGAATTTCGATCGTTTCGAGGTCGGGAGAGCTTTGAAAGCTCGCCTCGTGACCCGAATAAAATCATTACTAGACGTAGATGGCAGCAGCTGCGACTGCATTTCAGGTGTTCAACCCCCTTTTCGACGAACGAACAACAGTCAGTGCGGGGAAACGTCAAAATACGGTTCAGCTGATTTAAATCGAGCGCAAATGTGAGTTCTTTTATTTTGTTTCTTCGAGAAGATGTCATCGTCCGGACAGGCGGTCGTTTGTGAGGAGATTTTTGATGAAGCTAGTCACCCTTCAGTTGAAGGTATGGTTATATTAAGATCAGTGTGGGTGTATCGATTTTTGATGAATTTGATTTTTTTTTTTGTCGGCAGAAATTATTGAATATGCTGCGAAATTAGGGATTGATCCGAATAATGAGCCGCAACTCCTTCCACTTGCCGCTGAGGGGTTGATGAAAGCTTTACCACCTGGATGGAAACCTTGGTTTTTTATTTTATCGACTTTTTTGATTTATTTATTTTTTTTTAAAATTTTAGTTACGATGATAAAAAGAAATCTTATTATTATTACAATAATTTATCTGGGAAAACTCAATGGGAACATCCTTTAGATGAGATTTATAGGGGAATTGTTGTTAAAAAGCGAGCTGAGAGTCAATCATTAAGTTTAGGTGAACCGACCGAAGATGCAACCTATACAAGAGACGAATTACCGAGTTATGAAGAATCCCCACATCCGCCAAAAACTTTAGAACCGCTTAGTTTGGGTGCGAGAAAAAAAGATTTAAAACTTTCCCCATTGTCATCAAAATTATCTCCAAGCGGGCGATTAACGGATCCTTTTTACCCAAAGCTTCAAAAACAGAAATCAGAAGATAAAATTGGGAATCCTTTGACCTTAAGAAAAGCAAGCATTCATAAGTTTAACAGCTTTGATATGATTGATAATAAGAAGGATGAATTTAAATTAACGGGGGGTGGGAGCATGTTTTTAAAATCAAATACGATGAATAAAGAGAACTCAAATTCGCTCCAAATTAAAGACACTTTATCGCCAGATGTGAATTCGCAACCAAAAAGTATTTTAAGAGAACGCGGTATTGAAACTTCGAGAAGTATGGAGTTTCCAAAAAGCGATAAATCAGATAAAGATGACGACGATAAAAAAAGCGTTCGATTTAATTTAGATCGCACACCGGATATTACATTTGATTTTTCGGATAATAGCGGAAGTGACAACGAGTTAAAACAAATCAAAAACGAAGTTAAAGACATTATAAACGTAAGTATCAACGCGAAACCGGCCAAATCAAGATTTACCGTCTCACCCGTACAAGACATCCTTAAAAAAGAAGAACCCAAAAATAATTTAAAATTAATCAAACCTCACCCAAAAGATTTTATCAAGCCCGTTCTACATTCGTCCGACGAAGAAGATACTTCATCAAACTCGCGAGAGAAAGATACGAAATCTTTAGAAAACGCCGAATTAAATAAAGGTACAACGAGAAACATTACAAAAGAAAAACGGGAAGTTGAAAAAACGATCGAGAATCAGATCGAAGAGTATCGAAAAAAAATTTGGGAAGAGAAAAACGAAGAACTTCAAAAATATAAAGCCCAAATCCAACAAAGTCAAAAATCGGAATTAGAACGCATTTTAACAGTCGAAAAGGAAAGTTATGAGATTAACACGAAAAAGGAAATTGAAAATTTAAAAAAAGAAATGGAAAATAAACAAATCGTCGCTTTAAATTCGGAGAGATTAAAATTGGAGGAACAGTTAAAAGAAAAAATTAACCAGCTAGAAGGCAACTACAAAAAGCAAGAAGAAGAAGTCGAAGAAAAAGTTTTAGAAGAATTTAATTTAAGGAAAAATAAATTAGAAAGCGATTTAAACGAAAAAATCGAACATTTAGAAAGAGATTTAAACGCTTTATTAGAAAAACATAAAGATGAACTAACAGTTTCGCACAACGCAATTTTACACGAAATTAAACAAAAACATGAAAAGGTTATTGAAGAAATGAAAAAGGATTTCGCAATTGAAGTAAATAAATGATTAAATAAACCATATATTAAATAACCTATTATTTTTTTATAGGAGTCAATTATTAGAAAAGAACACCAAGCTCAATTAACCGAATTAAGAAGAAAAACCGCAGCTGATTACGAAAACGTCTCAAATAAATCAAAAGATAGCAGTGATGAAAAAATGTACGAAAAAATCCGTTGCGAAAAACGACTTTTAGAAGATAAATATAGATGTTTAAAAGAAAAATATTTGCGTTTAAAAACGGAGGTGAAATTAACGATTGAAAAAAGGAATAAGCGCAGAGAACAAAGTATAACAACAACCGGCTCTGAAACAGAAAGAAGTAATTCGTTAAATAAAGAAAGGTATTAATCGGTTTTTTAAATTTCGATTGTAATTTTTGATCGTTTTTAGATCACCAATGCATTCCCCATCTTCAGGTCGAAGAAGTACCGATAAACCGCCAACCCCGAAACACCTAAAATCGCACGATAAAATTAAACCGGAACACAAACCAACTCGACAATTAATAATTCAAGATATGGATACGTCAATGAGCGATCATAGTTATAAAAATGAAGAGCACGATTCTTCGGATTCGAACACGAATCCGGGTAGGAGTCGCAAAAAATTGTTTTCTCGCTTGAAGAGTTCTTCGACGTCGCGGGTTCCCAGTGGGAAATCGCGAAAATCGCAACGGTCGTGTTCGCCGGTGGAGAATCTTAGGCGCCAGTTGCAGAAATTGGAGGATCTCGAAGACCAGTTTCCGCAAAACACGGGTAGTGACACTTATCATTTACGATACCCGTTTACCGACGATCAGAAATTTGAAGGTAGTACCGAGCTGGAGTTTTTTAGGCACCGCATCCACTTAGAAAGGGACTCTATAAAACGGGCCAAAGAAGGTTTGAGATCGCAAAAAAGTTTGTTTCAACAGCGACAGAAGGATCTTAAATTAAAACATGGTAGTATGGCCCGTAATACACTTCAACAATTATGTCAGGTAAAAAAATCTATTCTTTATTTATTAAAATTAAAAGAGATTTATTAAGATTATATGTACTTTTTTAATAAAAAATTAAATCAAAATATAGTAAATCTATCTAACGCTCAATAACAATTAAAACTAGAACTAACACCAAACCTAGAACTAGAAACATTCGGATTTAGCCGTACGTCTCTTAAGACGGCTAATTCCGAATGTTTCTAGTTCTAGGTTTAGTGTTAGTTCTACTTTTCGTTTAATAAAAATATACAACAATCTAGCGCTAAATTACAATTAACATTAAACTAAAAAATGATTCTAGTTCTACGTTTAGTGTTAGTTCTAGTGATAATGTTAGTGTAAAACTAGAACTCACACTAGACCTAGAACTAGAATCATTCGGGTTTAGCCGTCTTGAGAGACGTGCGGCTAAATCCGAATGTTTCTAGTTCTAG